AAAGCAAATAGTTATAGATCGAAATGTACACACAAAGATAACAAATAAAATCAAACCTCCTTTGGCACATTAAGATTTTTGATTGACACGAGCTTACACACACACACACATTGCTCACAGACACACACAGAAACATTACTCAGCAGAACGTCTGAGGCGGTAAAATGCCTGTATCATCCCAACCCCACCTGGCTTCGCTCATCAGTTCCCCCCAGAGTAATGTGGCCCCTGGCCCCTCGGCAGATTAGCTGGAGGAGGGGTACTCACCACACACAATGGGGCCCTTTTACTTCCAGTGGAGACCTGGCCCTGAGCTCCAAACAACGCTCTCAGCACAGTGGGCGCTCCTTCTATTTCCCTTTTTCACTCAAATGCTTTTCTCCTCCGCTCCTCTGCTTTTCTCTTTCTAGCCCCTCACTCTCTCCCCCTTTACCCCCACCCACACCCCCATGTTCTCTTCTCATTTCTTGGCATGATGAGCACAGACAGGCTGTTTACCTGGAGGGACTGAGAGAGGGTAAGGAGCGATAGTGATGATAGCTGGTGAATAAACAACCAAAAATAAGGACGGGAGTTCACCGCACACCATTAAAGCCTTTACACAGCGAGACGCGGCGCAGTGCTGCTGCATTCTTAACGGGAGGCTCTCGTTTACCCCCCAGCCTGCAGGCAGCTACAGTGGCAGAAGAGGGTCATGCATTCATGCTATGTGCATGAATAAGCACAGATTTCCCCCTTTTTGACCACTAACTTGTTCACACTGCCAAATGAGTTGTGTGGCTATAGTAACTTCCAACAAGGATTGCAAATCTTGCAAAAGAAAAATCCCAAATCATTATAGCAATCGATTATTGACAAATAATGTAAGACAGAGGCCAGTTTTAATGCGCATATAGGTGTGTGTGTGTGTGTGTGTGTGTGTGTGTGTGTGTGTGTGTGTGTGTGTGTGTGTGTGTGTGTGTGTGTGTGTGTGTGTGTGTGTGTGTGTGTGTGTGTGTGTGTGTGTGTGTGTGTGTGTGTGTGTGTGTGTGTGTGTGTGTGTGTGTGTGTGTGTGTGTGTGGAAGAGAGGCAGGCGTCCCTTCCAGGGTGAGGTGGTAATGCTCAGTGACAAGGATAAACAGCGCTGGGGTTTGAGAGGGGGGGGTGAAGAGGAGGAGGAGGGGAGGAGGTCTGTGTCAGCCTCCCTCTCCTCCTCCTGCCTTCTTCTCTGTCATTTTTTCAATTATCCCTCTCTCCTGCGTGTCCCCATAGACCCAGAGGCAGGGCCCGCATCATTTAGACTGAGAGCCTGTTTAGATTCTGATTATAGCCTCCTTTCTTCTCACCACTCACTGCTGTCTCTCTCTCACTCTCTCTCACACACACACACACACACACACACACACACACACACACACACACACACACACACACATTTTGGGGGCACACTGGATCTTTTTAAAACTGTCACATGCTTTTTGTTTATTCTAAATGTGATCATTTGGTGTGCAAATGAAGTGATGGTTAGGGCTGTTGTGTTTCTTTATTATGAGGAAGGTGAATGTGTGAAATCCAAAGTTGGCCCTGAATGAGAGAAGATGCACACGTATAACCCGCCGGTCTCTATTCAAACACGGTGCTGCGCCGCACTGGGCTTATTCCCCCGGCTGCACCCTGGTTTAATATCAGATCGCCCTCCTTCCTCTCTTCATGAGGTTTCATCTGAAATGGAAAGTGGGGCTTTCCTCCTCGTTAGAATAAAAAGTCATCAAGGGAGGAGAGGAGAGAGGGATGGAGGCTCATTGAAATGCAAGTAACATCCCCCTTCTTTCTCTCCCTTCGCTCCTCTGGGACTCCATGCCTTTCTCCTCCTTCTCTTTCCCATCTTTAGGGCACTCTCTCGCTCCCTCTCCTTCTTTGTTAATCAGTTAAACTCCCTCTTCAAACAACCCCTCTAATTACTCCTCCACTCTCTGTAAACGACAAGGCTGTCTCTCGCTTCTCCTCTCCTCCCTCCTTCCCTCCCTACCCCCAGCTCCCTCTTTCCAAGACAGGGGTTGACCTCTGTCAGCCACCGAACCCTCAGAAATGCGTATGTGTGTGTTTGCACATAAGACTGATCCTTGCATTTAAACTATAGTGTGAGTGACATCTTTTGTTTTAAAATCCCATTATTATTATTAGTCGTTTCTTTAAACACCTGGATTTGTGTGTTTTCACTGTATCTCAACTTTAGGTCGACCAACATGCTGTGTGAGGATGTTTTGAGACTCTTTGCACACCTATCATCTATTTTTCATTCATTATTTCCTCTCTTCTTCCCTGTCTCCTTCATTTGGTTCACCTCCTTTTCTTTCCTTCACTGTGTGGATGGTAACCTTCCTTCTCCCCTCTCCCTGCTCTCCCCTCCACTCAAATCCCCCCCAAGCTTTACCTCTCTCCCACTAATCTAACACGCATCTCTCTCTTTTAAATTAACATGCAACATGAAAAAAATGGGGCGACAGCGGGAAAAAAATTAAATGCATTTAATAAATGGCTGACTTCAAATCGCCCGGCTTTTCAGACTCTCCCTATTCACAGTCCAATGAAAGGGGAGAAATCATTCACCGGGAGAGACAAAGCCGAATGAAAATATAATTCCGCATTGTGAAGCGCTTTTGTCCTGGCCCGTCAAATCGCTAATGGCGAGGCTTTTGTTTTGTGGCGGCGCTCTCAGGCTGGCGGTGTCGTATGGCGGTGGCAACGCATGCCCCATAATCACCACGCTTTGTGATATTAGATTATAGGGGCAATTAATGGCGTCAAACCTTAACTACTCAGCATTCAGCCTGCCACACACACATTCAGCCTTTAAACACATGCATACGTGCACATTTATGCAAACAAGTGTACACCCACACACATGCGTTTCAGTATATCAGCACTTGCGCACATGGGCGCGCGTTTGATTCTGGCGTCAGAGCATCATCCAGCACACAGAAAGGTGCTATAACTCCAGTAATTATTACGCCTGTGACTTAAAAATGTCAATGGCGGTGTGTATAAAATAGAATGTATGAGTTGTCAAGGAGGAAGAATGGGATGCACAAGAGCAATTAATTACAGCTTTTCATTTGGCAGCTTAGACTGACAAGGCCCAGCGGCGGGGGCAAGCTGGCATGACGCCAAGCTGCACCCGTCACCACCCCCCACCTTACTCATGACACCCCGCCACCCCATCCCCTCTGCCTGTTCCTTTACCAACTGCCACAACAGCACCCTTCCCCTGCCTCACCCCGCTCTGACTCTGTCTTTTCTTTTCCTTCTTCCCCCTCATCTCAAACAAACACTCTCTGGCGCTACAGCTCATTCATCTGCTATTCTCCATCCCTTCACCGTTACATGTGGCTGGGAGTGTGTTTGGTAAAGAGGAGACTGCTTTGATAAAGGCAGAGTGTGTGGCCACTGACAAACACACAGAGAGAAAAAGAGACAGAGAGGGATGGAAGGAGGGAGGCTTGGGCCAGGTGGGAATAGGGGTGTTAGTATTTATGGCCAATCTTGTTTACAAAATCCGATCCTTACAGATTTAATTTACCCCTGACAGCTTGTCTCCTTGTTTTTTGCCGCACAACTCCCTCTCCCATCAGCCTCCCTCTCTGCCTTAGGTGGAGAGTAGATAGACTGCTCTGAAGAGAGATCCGCACTGCCGGCACTTATGCAAGCCCACACACACACGCACGCACGCACGCACGCACGCACGCACGCACGCACGCACGCACACACACACACACACACACACACACACACACACACACACACACACACACACACACACACACACACACACACACACACACACAAGCCCACACACAGACGCACACTTTGACCATGTTGACCAGATTGATATTTCACCACAAAGTGAGTATAGATAAATGGCCAATTTCAGAGGTGATAACTCAAGCATGTATTTCCCTGTGACACAGCCACCCCCTTTTGACTGACAGGATTATTTGTATTGAGCAAGCATTATGGTTTATTAATGTACAGACAGAGAGGGAAGCCTGCAAACAGTGAGAAAATATCAGCTCTTGGACTTGATCTCACTCCCTTTCCTTCCCTAAATATCTCTCTGTGTCTGAAATGCTCTGTCTCTTTTAATCCCCATATTGTTTTCTCAAAGCTTAATTCAGTTAATAATCAAAGAAACACTTTGTCAGCAGTATTGTCTGTGTGGTTTTTCATATATTCGTTCTCCATTTATGCAAGGGTGTGAGTTTCTCAGTTCCTGATTTATGTGGTTAGTTTTCTTCAGTTTTGCAGTGTTTGTCATCAGATTAGCATCTATGCCCATCTCTGTGTACAATGCATGTGCTTTAAGAGTGCTTGCACAACACAACTGCAAGAATTACCAAGTACCCTCACAGTGTGTGTGTCTGTGCGTGTGTGTGTCTATGTCTTTGCCTGCCTGCAGCTCTATCTGATGAGATAGACATCTCATCAGATATCCACTTTGTTGTTCTTTTCTTCTTAGCCAGGCTTGACTGTGTGGAAAGAGAATCGGAGGATGTCCTAATCATGTGTTTATAAAAGCAGATAAGATTTTGTATTTCATAGGGAGATTGCCTATCTGTCCTTTTATCTGCCTGTTGTCACAGAAATTGCCAGTTTCAAAAAATGTTTCATCTTTTTACAATGCCCGCCTTGTGGAGGACTGTGTCAACAATATGTGTGTGCTGTGATGTCTATTTATCTTTGTCTGATGTTGCCAGCTCTTCTTAGCAGTGACTGACAACAGAGAATGAGACAACACACGTCTCTCACTTTACCTGTCCATACCAGCATACTGTACACCCTCCATTCACATTGTTTGTTTTGAGTTGAGCATTTAGTTGCAGGCACAGTCATGCTTAAAGCTCGCTGCGCCGGCTGGGCCTCTTCACACAAAGCTCAGCCCATTGATTGAGTTGTCCTACATTTGCAAGCCAGTGTGTACATTTAAATATACTAACATGTCTGTGTTCTGTGCTGCTTTTAGGTGCCTGTCTCCATGGCTATGATGAGTCCACAGATGATCACTCCTCAGCAGATGCAACAGATCCTGTCTCCCCCTCAGCTCCAGGCCCTGCTGCAGCAACAGCAGGCTCTAATGCTACAGCAGGTAAACACACACACACATTCACACACACATTAGAACTGTTGGACCCGGTCCCAGGCTGACATGTTTGGATGTGTCTGTTTTAGTAGGCGCTGACACACACTGGGCGTGATTGTGTTTTATTGAATGCTCGGAGATCTTTGAAGATAAATACACATCCACATATCCACTTATACACACATTGTCATTTGGAGTACCTCCACTTTAGCATTGTTGCTAGGAGAATGTGCATGCTCCCACCTGCACATATATAAACACACACATACACACAGACGCCTGTACGCTTCTCAGCATCACACAGTGAATCACAGTGATTCAGGGGTGTGTGTTGCTGATGCCCGGCAGGTGAGAGAAGGGTTGCCATGTCGACACAAACCAATAAACACTCTTCATCTGCAACAGATCTGTCAAATTGCAAGCCGCACCAACCTATGACCTCCTACCTACACACACAAAACACACACGCAACCTTGTAAAGGCTGAGAATAGGACTATTAACAGAGTGGGGATAGAGAAGTAATTACAGCATCTAGGATGTCTAGAAAACACATACATACACACACGCAGGCAAGGACAGAGCAGACAGAAGACTTAATAAGGAGCAGTAGCTTTAGGCGAGTATAAATTGCAGTGGGAAGATCTGACAACATGTATCATAATGGAAATGTGAAATGTGCTAGCTTTCTGGAAGCAGACATGCAGATGGGTAAGAACCTCTTCACCAGCTCTCGACAGAGAAAAAAAAAGAAATGGGAGGGTTGATAATACACACCCTCTCTCTCTCTCTCTCATTCACGTACTCTCACACACACACACACACACACACACACACACACACACACACACACACACACACACACACACACACACACACACACACACACACACACTATTAAAACCACTGAGTTTAACATTGCTCTCCCACTTAATTAACCACAGTATGGACTTGCTCATAGTGTATATCTGCAAATCAGGCACTTTTACACACACACACACACACACACACGGAACAATCAACCAACATATCACTCACTGAGGCATTACATTTCATATCCCCATGGCAATACAGCATTGTGTAAGAGTGTGTAAGTAAGGTTTACGGCCAACTGCTGCAGTGTTTATACGGGCACCCATTTGTGGATGTGTGTGCGTGTGTGTTTTAACCTTTAAGTTTTTTCTAACCTTTACTTATGCTACAGCTGCTTTGCCTTTATTTCTCAGTGTGTTCACTAAAGTCAAGGTCATGGTAATAGGCTGGAGAGGTGAATGCCTCACTTATACATACTCTTAATGCACAGAGCCACTGAATCAAATCATTAAAAAGACCTTAATTATCACTTAATTATTCCCTCATCTCACCACTCTCCAGCCAAGTGTGTGTGCGTGTGTGTGCGTGTGTGTGTGCATGTGCGTGCTTGCATATGCATGTGTCTGTGTGATGAGGAGGCGATCAGGGCTAGTGACGCGGAAAAGAGAGATTAACTCGGCCTAAGGAGCGATAAAAGAGAGGAGAGACAGATGGGAAAGAAAAAGCAGCAAGAAGGAATAAGTCCTGCATTTAAAATGAATTAAGGACAAGAAGGAACGTCGTCGTACAAAAGCACAGTAAATTATGCAAATTTGGAGCAATGGCTGGGACAAGATTGAAACTGGAAATGTAAAACAGCTTTGCACAAAAAGAGCAGGGCCATCACATTACGCAGACTGTGTAGCGAGGATGGGCAGTGGAGTGTAGTCTGCTCAATGTAGGGTCAGACGGATGAGAGACTGAAACAACTGCTGCACTGTGAAGTCATTCTCTGCTGAAAAGCCTCTTTGAACATTTGACGCACCATGAAACAAAGACAAACTGCAGACGGACACATGTACAGGCTGTTCTCAGGAGGATACCCCCCCTTACAGACACACACACACACACACACACACACACACACACACACACACAGTCACGGTCAGTGTGAGATTTTCAGTCCGCCTTGCTCTCCTCTCAGCAAGATTAGAATCTTAATGGAGCTTCCTGAGTAAATTAGTGATTAGTAAGTCAAACAAACAGGAAAGCTGCGGCCAGTCACAGGAGACTCTCTGTGTGTGTGTGTGTGTGTGTGTGTGTGTGTGTGTGTGTGTGTGTGTGTGTGTGTGTGTGTGTGTGTGTGTGTGTGTGTGTGTGTGTGTGTGTGTGTGTGTGTGTGTGTGTGTGTGTGTGTGTGTGTGTGTGTGTGTGTTTGCATATGCAAATCATGAATGCATGTCTGTGTGTTTCCTTAAATTAGACAGCAATGCTATATCCTGTAGATTAAATTATTCCACTAAGCATTTGCAGATGAAAATGAAGCACACATAAGACTGTCGAAAACACTTTCCTTTAAGTCCATCGCACAGATACAAACACACACACACACACACACACACACACACACACACAGTTCCAACTGGTGTTTAATGACAGCAGTACAGTTTGTACAGTAGGAGCTGGTATTTCGCAGAAGAATATTTCCATATGCATTTTTTCGCTGTAGGCCTAACGCGGTCCTGTTCAGTCACGTCCTGTGTGTGTGTGTCCAAGCAGGTTCAGCATTATATACAGTAGCTTTGACAATCATCTAACTGTACAACACAACTTGACACACTATAATAGATCTATAATATTCCCCAGCAGCCTTCTTTATCAGGTCTGTGTTTGCCTGCTGTACGTTTTGTCAATGAACTGCACAGAACCACAACAATACACTGCGGCCTTCCCTGAGAGGAATAGAAAGCAACTGCATTCCATGAGACTCCCATTCAAAGTGGCTGACTATGGCGGGGCATTTTACTGTCGGTCGACTGCGGTACGGTTGAGGTTGATACAAAGTGTGTTGTGATTCACATGCCTCATATTTCTCCATCTTCTCTCCCCTCCCTGCCTCCCCTCTTTCTGTGTCTGTCTCCAGTTACAGGAGTACTACAAGAAGCAGCAGGAGCAGTTGCATCTCCAGCTTCTGACTCAGCAGCAACAACAGCAGCAACAGCAGCAGCAGCAACAACAGCAGCAACAGCAGCAGCAGGCCGGGAAGCAAGCAGCAAAAGAGGTGAACTTCAGCAAGCACACACACTCAGCTCAAGCACACTCTGAAGTACACGAGGACCCTTAAACGCAGTAAAAGTGGTTGACATGGGACGAGCTGAAGAAAGAAATCCCATGAAGGATATAATGTATAGATATGTCTGCTCTCTTTTCCCCTCTCTTGTCACATCCTATGCTTCACTAGTTTATTGTTTTGTGTACAAGCTTGTCTAAATACAAGGATTAGTGAATATGGATTTTCATTTCTTCCAGCAGCATGCCATGCCGAGGCAGTGAAAGAGTGCTGCGCTAAGCCTTACGCTATCCTGCCAAAGTATTCATCTGCGCGCCTTTAGCTCTAAGCCCGAGGTGAAATCTGTCTGTAGGAGGGGTCTGCCACTCTTTTAATTGTCAATTAACCTCGCCAGCATTAAGAGCCTCCCTTGCTCTCCTTTCTCTGTCTCACACACACACAAATATGCATGAACACTATCCCAGGTTTAACCACAGCTGTGGTACAGAAGGAGATCAGAGGATCAACTAGGATCACATTGTGGCACAACAAAGAGGGTCTCTATCGATCAGGTTACTGATTGACTATATGTGTGTAACAGAGACATTTTGATGCTCCTGCACAAGCATTACGGAACATATAGAGGGCCATGCAGGAAACAGACTTAGGGAGAAGGGCCTCATGAGACTATTCATATAAACGCATGAGGAGACACATCCTAGATTTCTCCTTCTCTTCCTCGTCCCCCTTCTCCCAGTGGGCAGACCCCCCCCCCCCTCCCCCCTTACACCCCGCCCCACAAACTCTTCGCCGACAGCGGTCAACCAACTCGACCGTGACCAAAGCAAACCAGTTGTGGTTGACTCGCATGTTGAGAGGGTGTCTGCATCGCTTTCCCCCTTTCCCCCTCCTCTCTGCTGCTGTCCCACTTTTCAGGTTTGTTGTCCTGTAACAACGAGACAAGTGCAAACACTGGTCACACGGCTACACATACATGCAGAGAGGGAGAGGCTTGATGTGTGACGGTTCACTGCACAAACACACACACTTGAGGGAATATGCCTCCCCACAGAACTGCATACAGCTGATATGACTAAGGCCATTTTCAATAGTCAGTGGTTTTCAGTCGCCGCGAGCCGTCAATCAAAATCAAAAACACCTTTTTAGTCGACTCTCGTATCTGTCCTGGTCAAACAGCTGCTGTCAGATATCGAGGCAGGGGATGTGTTTCATTTGTGTTAGGCTTGGTCTGTTTGTGAGCCTGTCCTACACTTTGAGATAATCAGCAATCAGCTAGGGATATTTTCTCTCCAGCAATGAACTACTGGTGAGAGTAGTGTAGAAGAGGATTTGAACCAACTTCAGATTTGAGCAGGCCTTTTACACACACACATACAAAGAGGACAGAAGGAGACAAAGAAGATGGAGGAGGAAAGAGGGAGAATAGAACAGAAAATCTCTCCTTCGCCTTTCCACTGTTTGTGCTCCAGTGGTTGTGACTTTTTGCCCTTTTCCCTCTTTTCTGCAATTTCTCTTCACTTTCTTGTCTGCGTGGAAGTGATGCATTGAAAGAAAGAGTATGTATGTGTATGTCGAGTCAGTGTTTGTGTGTCGCCGGTGCATTTGGGACTGGTCAGGAGTCAGCTTAATGAAGTGGCTCTGACCATCACAAGAGATGTGTGCATGTGTGTGTCTGAGATTCTCCTCGACTGTGTGTGTGTGTGTGTGCGTGTGTGTGTCTGTGAGTATCCTTCTAGATGTGTGTGTGTGTGGGTGTGTGAATCTGTGTGACTGGCAGGCTCAGACACTGTGTGATGTGCTCATAAATCACATTGACAGCCTGTTACTGCGCTAGCTTTGGCCACTCAGCCACAGCTAATGTAAACAGAACACAGGCGCACACACACACACACACACACACACACACACACACACCCACACACACACACACACACACACACTCACACACACACTATGTGTGTTTTAAAGAACCATAGCCATATCTCAAGAGAGAATGAGGGACAGAGGGGGGAGTGGAAAAAAATAAAATGGACAGACAAGTAGAAAAGGAGGGGCAGGAGGTCTTGAGAGAGAGAAAAGAGAAAACAGTTCATTCAGGACATTTCATCATGATAGACCATTTATTGTAACAAATGAGAATTTGGCAGTTCACTTCAAAGAACTGAATCATGTAAGAATGACACAGATTTTGTCTATGACCACAACACCAATTGCCTTTGATAAAGTTTGCAATGAGTCTTTGTGGTCCTAGCATTCTCAGTTTAATGTGGATTCATTCCTCATCCCTTAGAAACTCTTTAATGAAAGATTTCCAGCAAATGATATGCTACGAATATTAAAAAACACTTTTTAACTTACTTGAAAGCTTATAGCTGAATTTCAATTGAAACAGCCGCTGGAAATTATGTTTCCCCTCTCTTTGTTTGAAACAGTTGTTGTGATAATTCCTCTACACCCCCCTAACAGCCCCCTCCCACTCGCAAACACACTGCCATCACACTTCTTCTCCCCAGGCACTAAGTCTGAAAGGAAGTGACCTATCTGCCCTTCCTGTGAGATCCTCGCTGTTCAAAGAGTTCCAGGCTGCCACTCTCTCTATCTCTCCCTCGCTCACACACACATACACACTCATGCACACACAATGAGCCGTTCTTCAAGTTGTATTTATTTATTTTTCCTCTCTACTTGTTATCTGCAAAAGATAAAGTCCATCTCTTTTGGGGGTTGGTCAGGGAGGGTTCAAACAGCCCAGGCCAGATTTGACCGAGACTGGGAGGGCAGGAAAGGGGACATTTATCACCGCAACACACACCGACATTATCGCCACGCGCCATGTAGTCTCTCCCACTCTCCCTTCAAACTCCCTCATTCCCTTTACCTCCTCCTCCTCGCAGCTTTCTTCTGTTTAATACAGGACTTTTATTTATTTTATATGGTGTTAGTCGACTTTATGCTTGAATTTGTTAGGATTGAATGATGTAATGGGACAGGCTGACCAATTTAATTCACAATAACAATACTGGGAAGGGCTTCTTTTTAGACGAAAGACGACAAAATCAAAGGCAGCTGTCTGGCAGTCGTGTGAAAACTATAATTCACACTTTTACAAAATGTTATTCTTTTTTATAGTTTGTTGTGAGGGCCAGAAGATTTCTGCAGAATTGCACTGGCTCAGTGTACTTTCATGGATTCTCTGCCAATATTAGCAGACGGCGTATTAATACAATGGTTGGCACTCTGCAAACTTTGATCACAAATTGACATATACATCAGTGGGTGGCCAATGGACCAGTGGGGGCTATATTAAAAAAAAAAAAAAAAAAAATCATGGATATCTGTATTTATAACCTATTTTCAGAATTAATAGAAATTATTTCAGAATTATTAAATAACTACAAAGAGTGAAAAAACTGAGTAAGGAAATAGGTGCGGATAACATAGAAGTAATACGTAACTTGATAACCTTTTCCCCCCTCTGTCTTTGGCCCTCAGCAGCTAGGCAGTAAGCAGTTGGCCTTCCAGCAGCAGCTGATCCAGATGCAGCAGCTTCAGCAGCAGCACATCCTCAACCTCCAGAGACAAGGCCTGGTACCACTGCAGCCCACCGCCGCCATGCAGTCTCTGCAGCAAGGTACGTGCACGTGGCGCGCCGGCACACACATTCATAAACAAACAACACTCAGTCACACAGACACATCCTGACAAACATGCATACACACATGGTCATAACTGAACACACACACATACACACTGGCCTGTACCCAGTGCCGCATGTGAAGCCTGTTAAGTTAATCAGCCTATAAAAGATAAAAGGAACCTGATTGGTGGGTTTGTGGAAGGTACTCATTTGGATAATAGGTAAAATATGCCACTAAGCCCCCTGCTTGGAGGTGTGTGCATGAGCTTTTGCGAGTGTGTGTGTGTGTGTACTTGAGATTAGCCAGACACATGAACATCATCGTTTTGCTATTGCTGTGCCCACTGGATATTGTTCTGTTGCTATATGTAACTGCTCCCACAGTCCCTTCTTTTTGTCAGCATGGTTTAAGAACGATAAATGTTGACTGTTTGCCGGCCCGCCCTAAGTGAACATGTGTGCATTTGTGTGTGTTTTTCTACACTTTTGCCTGTGCACAATAAAGTCTTAACGCATGCACACACACTACCTCACACGCAGAGAATGCTTTAGGGGCTCTCAAGTGGCCGTAACATTGCTAAAGCGCTGACTGAGTTGACCAAACAGACCCGTTTCCTTCCCTCCGTCTGTGTGATCTTTCTCTTTCTCTCATGCGTGGTCACATGCAAGTCACACACACAAGCACACACACTCATCGTCGCTCTGTTATTTGAACCTGCCAAAAACAAACATAAACCTAATCAAATCATTTTAACTTCAAAAGGTTTCATTTCAAATACTGCAGGACCCAACATTTTTACAGAAACCTGATCTATGCATGTGTGTGTTTATGTGCTAGAGGGCAGGGAGCGTGTGTGTGTGTGTGTGTGTGTGTGTGTGTGTGTGTGTGTGTGTGTGTGTGTGTGTGTGTGTGTGTGTGTGTGTGTGTGTTGTGTGTGTGTGTGTGTGTGTGTGTGTGTGTGTGTGTGTGTGTGTGTGTGTGTGTGTGTGTGTGTGTGTGTGTGTGTGTGTGTGTGTGTTTGTGGTTGTGTCCGCCAGAGGGTAAGTGGAATTAAAAGTTTACAGAGAGCAGGAAAAAAAACCCAGAGAAGATACAAATTAAAAACAAATAAAAAGACAGAAGCCACAGTTTTGGATAAAAGATGTGTTCATTTTCCGACAGATACAAACATTTGGCTCTGGCATCTCCTTCTCTTTCTCACTCTCTCCCTCCGTATCAGAGTGGAATTTCCCTGCAGTGTGAAAGAGCCGGTCCATTGTGACGGCTCAGCCAGGCGTGAGGCAGAGCATTCCTCTGACCAGCCATGCCACACAAACACACAAACACACATGCATAAACACTTGCACCTACACACATACACAACTGCACACACTATTGCCCCGCCTCAAAGGGCCGTTGTGTCCGGTGGGTAGCTGGTGGGGGGTGGACATGAGTGGGGTCCTGCTGTGGGTATTGTTTATTTCTCTTACTTGGAGGCTACTGAGTTCATGGCAAAAGAACAAAGAGCATTAAACTACTATCAATCAAAAAGTAGTTTCTATTGAGATTGTGTTTCAGCACTCAAATATAAATAAAATGCATTACATTTGACTTCATCCTGTTAGACCCCGCCTTCTTAGTAACTAAAAGCCATGTAAATCAATGAAAAGACAGCCTGATGTGGGTGTGTATGTTTTTACAGTAAGCAAACATACTCTCATCCTCACAAATACTTTGTAGGTGACAACACTAGATTGGGGTAATTGTGAGAGGACATTTTCACCTGAATAAAATACACATAAAATCAAAAAGCTTTGTTTAAAAGTCGGTCCAGCTCCTGGCTGCTTACTGTTTAAGTTTGTTTCTAAACTGCTGACTGCTGACAGAAACAAAATATCAGTTCTTATCAAATTACATTTTTAGCTTCTTATTTGTTATTGAATAATTGTTTATGTGCTTTCTGATAAGTCAAAAGAGGAAACGCTTTATCTAACAACCGTCTAGCTACTTTACAGTTTCACTCTTATATGTACAGAAATCTATTGCACACACCGCCTCATTCCTCCAGAGTGAGAACTTTTGTTTTGGCGGGACCACAGAAGAATGCAGACAAAGCAGACATAATATTTGGATTGCTGCAAGGTCTCTTTAGGTGTGTGCGTGTAGTGTGTGTGCCGTTGTGTGTGTGTGCGTGCATACGTGCATGGTAAGATCCATTGGAGTAGGCTGCGGCATTTTAGGCGTCTCTCTAACTGTGAAATTGGAGCAGAAATAACAAAGCTGCAACTAGAGAGAACTCAAAGTGTGCACCCACCCTGTTCAGACAAATAGTGGTAGTGACAGGAGCAGTGGTGCTGGTGGCTAGTAGCAATTGCCAACAGAGATTAGGAAATAGTTGAGGAACAGTGAATATCTAGAAAGATAACAAAAACATGCAGAAATTAACCTCTTGTCTGTTTTAGTTTGTTTTATTTTCCTCTTTCATAACCACTCCCAGAGGACATTAATAGTTGTGTTTTTTGTGGATTAGAAAAGCAAGTCACAGCTCTCTATGACATCAGTTTATTTACAGTGTGTCTGTATGTGGTTGAAATTGTCTCATCTGAATTTATGTGAACCAAATGTATTCTTGTTATAATAAGCTTCACTATCATTTGATCACATTTGCACTGAACATGTGAAACTTATCAAGGAGAGTATTGCAGCCAAGTGAACTGTGCATTCCTTCTTTGCAGCGATGTGTCCGTCAGACCTCCAACAGCTGTGGAAGGAGGTGTCGGGGGTGCAGAGCAGTGAGGAGGCCCTGAAACATGCCGAGGGCCTGGACTTGAGCACCAACAGCTCTAACTCTACCTCAGCCTTCCCCAAAGCTGCCAGTGCTCACATCCCACTGCACAGCCTGGTCAACGGACAGAACCACACCCCAAAGAGAGACAGGTACAGTAAAGTATAGAACGTAAAAATACTTAAAGGGATTGTTTGGAATTTTTTAAGTGGGGTTGTATGACATACTTATATAAAGTCAGTGTATAACACAGCAGTAGAAAGCAATTCCTATTTCGAGTAACAGATAGGAATAATGCACAGAAGCAAAATGATGTATTGATATGGGTGGGGCTTCAGGGAAACATCTGTTAACCACCTAAAGAAAGGCCCATCTAAAACAAAACAAAATTCACTTAAAATGTACCCTATAATCAGAATATTTTCACCACTTTACTTTGCCGTCAGAACATCCTTTCAATAGAGAGGCGAAGTCCCGCCCCATCTACTTCCGACCCATGGGACCTTATTTCGGAAAAATTATGTATTGAAGTCAATGGGGAGAGAAAGATTATCTTTCGATCCGGTTTGAATTGTGCCACGAATTACACATATGATGTTTGTCAATCTTAAAAAATAATTTCCATGTCAAAAAAGTCACAGTTTGTCGTAAAACTGTTGAAATATAAGACTATGAAAAATACTCAACTAGAAAGACTACAAATCCCAGAATCCCGGTCACGCATGCTGGCTCTTACGAACCAACTAACTCCCCTTTTGTGTATGTACAGCTCTCAACATGCCCAGACTTGTAGTGATTTTCACCTCTTTTAATACTTTTCGCCTCATTCTGAAAGAAAGAAGTGAAATGTGCCAACGTGACGGCCGTCTTGCTGTGTGGTGCGAGACGAGAGATGTAGTTCATTGAGCGGTTTCACACAAAAAAAAGTGTTACTTCACAGTTTTACGACACATTTGAATTTTTTTTACTTGCAAAATGATCTTTTAAATTAACAAACATCATATGTGTAATTCGTGGCACAATTCAAACGGAATCGAAAGATAATCTTTCTCTCCCCATTGACTTTTTTCGAAATAAGGTCCCATGGAGCTCCCCCGGAAAGGGAGGGACTTCGCCTCTCTATTGAGAAACTTAAACTATGCTCTCTTCAAAGCTTTGGAAACAACAGTTACCACTATTCCTTTAAAATGTTTACATTGTGACAGTGCATCTGTCCTCTGTGTGACCTGCAGTCAAGTCACACACTCTTGCTATGTAATTTTGAGGATGAGTTCTTAACTTTTAGCTTTAAGATGTTCCTCCATACCTACGCACGTAAACACAAAACATTCACATGCAGCATACCACACATCACCATGGTGCAAACGTCTCTCCGCTCATTTGATAGGAGGTGTGTTGGGTTCAGTATGTTCCTCCAGTGTACTGTCAACCACATGCAAGTATAGTATAGATGAGAGGAGAGGATGGTGGAAAATTAATTTGTTCGATTCTATATTTGTAAATCAGTATTTGCTGTAGACATAAATTCCTTGTTACCTGTGTTGACATACATGTGCTTGTACTACACTTACGGTTTGAGTGCTGTGTATCACATGGCTTTATTTGCTTCTCATTAGCTTGTCTTTGTCTTTTAGAGCCCGACTGTTTGAGTGGATATCCTCCTTCACCAAGGCAGACATTGGAGATGAACATGTCCCCCTTTACTCCAAAAGTGGCCACACCCCCAGCAGCCAGTGAGTAGCACATTCACACTCACACATACACAAACATGGGAGGATATGACGAAGACAGGGACACTACTGGGAGGGTGGTCTAAACACTGATTCACTGTTTGCTCCAGGGGCATTGCTGACCCTGACCTCTGACCTCATTTTAGACCTGCTATTAGTGTTCACACTAAAGCTGTATTATGCTACCCGTACACCAACAGAATTGGCTTTTGATGATACACAGAGGGTAGCATTAGTGTGTTAGCCTGCTAAGCTAATGCATGGCTGATGTGGAAGAGAATGTGGTCGCCAGCAGTTTGTCATGTCTGCTGTCTGAGCTGCTTCTGAGTTGACTCAACCACAGCCAGCATACACACACACACACACACACACACACAGACACACACACACACACACACCACCACACACACACATACACACACACACACACACACACACACACATACACACACCACACACACACACACACACACACACACACACACCAAGATCCAACCTCAGCCAGCACATATGATCAGGAAGAGTCAGAAGGGAGAGGGAGAGAGACATGTTTCCATCTGCGAGACAAATGGTTTTTGTTAGACAACCTTCTGATGTTGATTTGGGAGAATCCCCATCCCAGTCCCCCCACACACACGTGCACACACATACACAGTGATGTAAATATATGTGGAGACAGCCGTCGTCGGCGATGGTCCAGGTCTGAACCACATCTGCTACTGGACCTGCCCCACACACACACACACATACACACACACACATGCACGAGCACAGTTATTCTACACTGGGCCCAAACCAAACCTGGCTCAGTCTTCCATTGCCACACACAAATACACAACCGCTCATAAATATGCACAGATGTACGCACAGAAACACACGTGCACGCACACGTAAGCTCACCACAAAAGAACAACCAGCACATGACGGCACCCGCCGCCAATCAGTCATGGCTGGTTGGTCCTGTGCCGAGTCTGTGTCAACTCCTGAAACATAAGAACACACACCAACACTAGCACACACACATCACATACGGCAAGGACAGAAAGACAGGTCATGGACTTGAAAATGTGCCTCTGAGGTTGCTGGACCAATTCCCTTAGCTGCCTGGCTTCTGTAACTGACCCCACTCTGCTCTATCCTCCTCTCTCTGCACTTGGCTTACTGAACTGTTCAAACTAATGACTGCTAACCAGACTCAGATGGCTGTAGTGATGCTTCTGCAGTTCGTTTTCTACGTCTAGTTTTGTGTGCCAGAGTGCGATATATTAAACCTTTGCTTCTTATCTGAGGAAGGAGTTGTTTTATTTGCTGTTTATTTTATGAACATAACAATAGATGAAAATTGTGACATGTGTTTTACTACCTACCTCTTCTTGTGTGCAGTCATGAGGAGCATGCCGGCTCCCATCCTCTCTACGGCCATGGAGAGTGTAAATGGCCTGGCTGTGAAGCACTGTGTGAGGACATGGGACAGTTTATCAAGTAAGTTAACAACCACCCAAAAATATGAAATATTGTGCAAAGGATGGGGTTGCAGATACACTAAAAAAATACATTTACTATAGTACCTTGAGGTTCTGCATAAAGTATATTCAAAACAGCACACCTGTTATAGTGAATGGCTTTTGGATGTGTTTAGCATGGAGAAAACAACATTTCTAGACAGGCTCAATTATTTATTAACAAAACCTCACAAAGATAAACATTTTTATAATCTTCTAACTTCAGCATTTTGTGCTGACCAATTTTATCTGCCAATGTGCAAACCCAAGAATTTACACCTAAATCAGATTTAGGACCACATGAAACGTCCTTAAATTGTATCACTCATTCGTAAACAAACGCCAGGGATTTTTTTTTAAAAGCTCAACAATGCTAGCAGCTAGTAGCATTGGAGGAAAATTACACATGACACATTCTTTGACTCAGATCACCAGTACTAGCAAAAGATGAAGCAGAGCTAAAAAAAATGTGTGCTTAATGAGTGTCAGTCATGATCATCAGCCATGTTTCCGATTGGCTCACTAATTCATCAGTTGCAATCAGTTGCATCACATTTGCTCTGAGGCACATTATTGCATACAGGTACACACACAGACACAACATCTGTCTAGGATTTATTCATCATCCTCCTACAACACTATTCCTCTTCCCTTTTGTTCCTTTGTTAATATTTGTCACCAAGTATTTCCCTCATTTAGTTGTGTTATTGTCTTTGTATGTTTTGTAAGCTTTTTCTTTGAAAGGTCAAGCACATTGTTTCACTGCTTAATAGAAAAATTACTGTTAATTAGCTCATCCACACGCACATCTTTTTGTTACCGCAACAAAAGTAAATACATCAAACACACTTCCCTTTCACTTATTCCCTCTGCCACCTTCATGTTAGTTTGGAGTCACTGGGGGATGTTGATGCAGTCTCTGGCCTTGACATTCTGCTACCTCCTCCTCTGTCACACACTGTACAGCGGACTTCCCCGTGGCACTACTGCTGCTAACGAGGGCTTTACAAAGCCTTTAATGAAGCCCTAAACAAACTCACACTCTCATTATCGGTGTGGAACTCGTAACTATTTGAGCAACGGAGATATTAATAAGCAGGGGTGATGAAATACGTACTCATACACACACATTATCACAGAAGCGTGCGTGGTGATTGTGATGGCATCGGACAGTCAGATCAAAGCGAGCAGGCAGGCTGGGAAAGTTTGAAGAGGAAAGCTGTTGTTTGGTGTCTTATTTCACGTAGCCCCGGGGCAGATGGAGGGAGAAAGCGTGTGTGTGTGTGTGTGTGTGTGTGTGTGTGTGTGTGTGTGTGTGTGTGTGTGTGTGTGTGTGTGTGTGTGTGTGTGTGTGTGTGTGTGTGTGTGTGTGTGTGTGTGTGTGTGTGTGTGTGTGTGTGTGTGTGTGTGTGTGTGTGTGTGTGTGTGTGTGTGTAGAGAAAGAGGGAGATGAAGAAGAAAAAAAGAGGCAGTGACAGATAATGCCGTCAGTCCGACAGTGCGCTCCCTTCCAGCCAGCCTTAGTCATCGCCCCAGGAGGGAAAAAGGGTAGAGCAGAAGAACAGAGGCGGGAGATACTCCACTATTTCAGGCCTTTCTTCTCTTCTCTTCTCTGGTCCCACCTCCCCTCCCTCCCCGTCCTCTGGTATAATACTCTGGCTGTGGTCGGTAGAGCTGGGTGTAATGTGGGTTAAAGCCTTGTCTGCCAGCACTCAGAGGAGTAAACAGAGCCTCATTGTCGGGACACATCGAAAAAAAACCTGCTACTGTTTATGGCCCGGCTATAGAGAGAGGGGAGGGTTTTAGGGGCAGATTTTGGTTGGAATGAGTGTGAATCATAGGCATTTAGGGAGTTGCGGGGGAAGACGAGTGGGAAGGGGAGAGTGGACAGAAGTACAAGGCATTGGGAGAGAGAGCTTAGCACAGAGTGAAATAGAGAGTCAGGGGTGAGATCATGTTTTTGTTATTATTATCGTGCACTTGTTGAGCCGTCTATCTGACTGGATTAGCCATGCCATGACATCATTGTTTTTGTTTCATTTCTAGACTTCGTCTGATATTGCCTAACTTTTTTTGCTTTCTTAAAGACACACACACACACACACTCAGTAGTCACACACTCTACACACATTTCTTCTTGTACATATCACAATAAACAAGTCAGGAAAGTGGCTTTGTGAAGATTACTCGGATTGTAACTTAACACCACAGGATATAGTGAAACTCACTCTGATACACCGACACACACAACTACACACACACACACACACACACCGTGCATGCAGCAGCAACCTGTGAATAACCTTGGCGATGACAGAGCAGAGAGAAAGGGATGGAGGAAGAGAGACAGGGAGGGGTGGGCTGGGAAAGATCAGAAGGTCCCGGGTCCTCCCACATTGGAGGAAACAAACAGCGCCACCATTCACACATACACACACGTCCATGCACACGCACACACATGCGCAGCAGTGTTAATATGTGGAGTGGAGTTTAGCTAACAGAGAGTCTTCAGATAAGGCTTTGTGCGATAACACATGAGCTCATATCCAGGTGGTTGTCTTGGATCACGGCTCGCTGAGCACCAATGAAGTATACACACACAAAACACAGCTGCTGCGTACTTCACTAGACAAAATAAACCTCCAAGATTATGATTTATTTTTACAGCTCTGAAACAGCTCATAACGCAGTTTAAATAAAAGTGCAAGAGTGGGGTTGTGTTACTTCATTATCCGGGACATGGTCATTGATTTAACAAGGATGCTGTTCATTTAATCAAACTTTGGAACTTTGAGTGATGTTTTCGTGGATATCAATTTACCCTCTTGCATTTCCCCTCACCTCCAGGCACTTGAACAATGAGCACGCCCTCGATGACCGCAGCACTGCTCAGTGCCGAGTCCAGATGCAGGTGGTCCAGCAACTGGAAATACAGGTGAGTCACATACAGACAACCACATTACATCCACTTACAAACTAAGTCTCGAAGACTGTTCCAGCCAGTCAATGGCAGTAACTTGTCTGAAGCAGGGCAGAGTTTATGGAGAGCAGTGGAGCTTGTAATTTAAAAGGAGCAGTCGGCAGAGAAGCTGCCATCGCTGCTCCAATTATAAAGCTGCTCTGGTCACCAGAAAGATAGAGCGAGGCTGAGAGGAGGAGGGAGAGAGAGAAGAGAAAAGAGAGAGAGAGATGAGCCAGAACGCGGAGGACGGCACGGCCTCTCTTGTTCTCAAAGTGGTTCATGCACGCATACTCTTGAAACATCTGAATGCTCCGGCAAAAGCAAAACACCAACACTGGACAAGAAGTGAAATTCTGTTCTCACACAGTACGTAAGAAAAGTGAAAACACAATGGCCGCCTGTTCACACACACACATCTTGACATAGTTTCTAAAGCACTTCAGAATACCCTGTTCACATCGCTGCGTAATATGTGTGTGCGCTGTCCAGCATTAGGGTGAGCATTGTGTTTGGTGGCGGTGGTAAACAGCGTTTAGCTGAGCGCCTGAAGCCACCACCAGGGAACACAAAGTGACAGAGAGGCAGCTGGTGTCACATCACATCAGGACGTCCGTCTCTCTCTCTCTGACAAGTCACTTCATCCCTCAGCGGCCCACCACTCTACCCTCCAACAGCTCACACACAGCAGCCCAGGCACTGTGTTTAAATGTTTTATATTTACACATCTCTGCAGTGTGTGAGTATGTTAATGGTGCTATCTGTCTTAGTGTAGATCCGTTGTTTCTGGAGGCTACATGTGTGTACACTTGTACTTTCGCACAAACACAGACACAGGATGCCGCGTTTCCACAGGCTGTAGCAGCACCCATTAAAAGGCAGTTAACAATGTCAAACAGGGACGAGTGTGTCTGCAGGCTAGTGTAAGTGTGGGAGAGAGCTCCGGGTGTCGAGGCGGATGACTTTCATAATCGTCTCTCTGCCTGAGGTGTAATTGCAATTGTAATTCTGTGTCAATACCGCGAGATATCAATCTAAGCATTATGGAGTGAGATAAAGTGTTTTTCATGGCGGTAACCACCCTTGTTTGTTTTACAGCTGTCAAAAGAGAGTGAGCGACTTCAGGCCATGATGACCCACCTGCACATGCGCCCCTCAGAGCCAAAGCCTTTTAACCAACCTGTGAGTACACACTTCTTACCCAAACCCAAAATAGCATGACTTCATATTCTACCCTCGTACCCCAAATCTTTACCTACTATTTACTTACAACTCCTTTTAATCGAACAGTTTCTCAATCCCTAAACCTTCTTGGGATCTCTTACTGTCTAGCTTGGTATCTACGCCCCCTATTGACCAGTGAGGGTTAATATGTTATTTTAAAATCCTAGGGACAACTCTGTCTTTTCCTTTTTCATTGTACTCTCTGTCTTTTTGTTTCATTGTGTGTCCCTCTTCATCTCTATCTCAAAAACTGTCATGATAATGTACATTGAATTCCGCAAAAATATTCAAACTGTCTCCAAGTCAAACTTCAGTTCTACATTTGATTCAACATTTGAGATTTTTAATTTGCTAGCTTGTAAGAGAGAGAGAACAGCCAAAGCAGTCTCTCACAGTATTTTCAATGTGTGTCCACAGAAGGGATAGAAATGTGATGTGATGTGAGTGCATGTGTCTGTGTGTGTGTCCACACTGGTTGGTGAGGTTGTTATTAGATATCTAATGAATATTTCATTATTCAGATTGACGAGGAGTCTTATTAAAATATGAAGATGTTGGAATTAATTGTCAATTAGAGGTAGAGTGTCTTAATTTGAGGGGATGTAAATGGGTGCAGCCGAGTGGCAATATGCGTGTGTGTATGAGTGTGTGTGTTTGTGTGTGTGAATGATGCGTTGATCGCTGGGGGATCAGCTGCTATTAACATCTAATGGGAAATCAGGAAGAGGCGTGTTCTGTCACCACCGGAGACGAGCCTCGGGGTCAGGGATTGGAGGAGGAGGGGCAGGGGAGGAGCGTCAGGAATGGAAACAAAGCTTGGCCTCAATTAACAGGGTTCGACTGTTGCCGTGGTGATGTGGCAGGGTTGCAGCGTTAATGAAGTACCTGTTAAACAGCCCCGCCCCCTCCAGTCTACTTAAATGGTACAGAGAGGGGGCAGAGTAAAGAGAGGGCGATTCACACATTTTACATATGGACAACACACACACACTCACACAATCACAAACAGGGGTTTAATTAGTCCTAAACTAGGAGCCCTGCAACGCCTGTCCCAGAGAGACTGGGAGTACTGGTTCTGTGTGTGTGTGTGTGTGTGTGTGTGTGTGTGTGTGTGTGTGTGTGTGTGTGTGTGTGTGTGTGTGTGTGTGTGTGTGTGTGTGTGTGTGCGTGTGCGTGTGCGTGTGCGTGTGTGCGCAAGGCTCTGCCTAATTGGGCCGTATTGGTCCGTGAAGACTTTGCCACCGCAGAGTGCATGTGTGTGTTCCCTTCTTACAAACACGCTGTCGTGTGGTTTTGTATTTGTAAACGCAGGGTTAATTGCAACCAGTGCTGTGTGTATAAATAAAGTACATGTGCATGGTGTGTGTGGCTATTCGCAAGAATGCATTTGGTAAAGTACTGTAGGGACACAAACAAGAGGAGTGTTTGGACCTTACATTTTTTATAGGTTATTTAACTTAACTTCCTGGATATAGCAACTTATACTGCTATAGGTTAAATAATTAAATTACAACTTCAGTTGTATTCATATTCTTACATACCTAGGAGGCAAAACCGTTAAGAAGCACAATTTGTTTTGTATGTACATGATACACAAGCTCTGTCTAATACATTGATATCACCTGACTCTGTCCTGTGTAGATGGCGCTTCTCTGTAAACAGCAGCCCAGCAGATTGTGGAACCTTAACGTAAATATAAGAAAAGCATCAATCAGATATAAAATCCATTGCATTCACTAAAACATTGAGGTTAGGATGAGGCTAGGAAATAATACATTTTTGTGTGTGTTGTGTTTTAAAGAAGGGCAGAATTTACAATTTTTTAGTGGATTTGATAGGTAGAAAACGATGAGACCTGAACCCTAATGTCTGCGTTTCTGTGTCTCTGTCTAGCTGAACCTGGCTTCCGGTGGCTCTCTGTTAAAGCGGGAAAGCGATATGTACCCAGAGGGTCTTGCTCACCCCCCCACCTCAGCTGCCTCCCCAATCACCCCAATGCGCCAGGGCCCCTCAGTCATCAGCTCCTCCAGCCTGCACTCACACTCCCACTCCCACTCGCACGGGGTCGGGCCCATACGCAGGCGCAACTCCGACAAGTACTGCACCCCCATCGCCTCAGGTAACATACACTCACTCAGTACCTGCCTTTTTAGTATTAGGCAGATCAAATGATTTTGTCTCACAATGGACTTAGATTTACTCTGTTTTTTGACACACTGCTTTAGTTACTTTTTTTCTTCAAAAAGTTCCCTGGAAAAGCAACTTCATATGTTTTACTTTAATTTATCACTCAAAGAATTATATAATTGATGCCATCTTTTTTTTTTTTTTTTTTTTTTTTAATATTTGTTTAAGAATGAAGTCAAGTTCGCAAAGCTTTGAATAATATAATAAGAATAAATAAATGATTGGCTTCTAAAGAATATGTAATATTATGTATCTTTACAAAGCTGTGCTCACCACAGTTCTCACCCATAACAATCTGCTTGACCCTTGAATAAATAATAATATCAAACGTTTAGATACAAGCGGCTAAGATATTCTTTATTTTAGATTTTCATTCCTTTTTATTTTATGGACTTATTGATATAAAATCCCACTGAGAATCTGCTTATTGTTTTACATGTATTGCATTACAAACACCAGCTGAATTATAATGATCATACCTCTTTGTTTTCAGAGCTGGCTCAGAACTGTGAGTTCTACAAGAACGCTGATGTCAGGCCTCCTTTTACTTACGCCTCTCTTATACGCCATGTAAGTCCCTCCAATGATCCAGTTTCACTATATCTTCTTGCCATCAGTATTTTCCCCTCTCTAAATCTGATTGTGTCTCCTCTCTCCGTCCTCAGGCCATACTGGAGTCCCCAGACAGACAGTTGACTCTCAATGAGATCTACAACTGGTTTACACGGAAGTTTGCCTATTTCAGGAGAAACACAGCCACATGGAAGGTAAAAGCTCATGCTATACACACTCTCAGTTGTGCTTTGTCTTTCTCAGAACTAACTAAATGTCAACTCAACAAATAGAAACCAGACCATTTAGCAAATGGGGTTTGGAGTTGTTTAAATGATGTAGAAAAAGAACAGCGCCATATTTAGAAAATGAAAGTTGGACCGCGGCTCTGAATGGTTGGAAGCTGATTCAATCAAAGAGCAATATTTTGACTCAAACTATAATGTGGTATACAACTCTGGCTGGATGAAAGCTGCTCTAATTGACTGCAGAGCAACTGTGGTCTGGGTCTACTGATGAAGCCCCTAACCCAAGCAGATGCCAGCTGAGACCACAATGAGAGAAACAAAAACTGAAGGCAGATCTTGCAGTGTTAGAAACATTTGGATTGGCCAATATGACTTCACTCTGCCGAAAATGTATTCATTGTTTAGGGTTAAATGTAGCCCTTACACTCAGGATGATACAATGACACACACACACACACACACACACACACACACACACAAGGTAAAAAGCACAAAGGTTTTAAAGCTGACTTTGCTCAGCTCCTAAAGATTTGACTGATTTGACAGTTATTGGCTCTTTCATTCCTTTATGAGACACTTTCCTACTGCTGCACTCATTATCTCTCCCTTCCCTCACTCTCCCTTTTCCTCTTTCTCCGTCTCCCTCCATCTCGGCCCTAAACAATTCTCTCACCTCCAACACGGCACATGGAGTCGGCCCCACTTAGCCCGGTAGAGCCACAATCTAGCTGTTATACAGCCTCATTACAGAGATGCACATAAAAAGCTGACAGACACACACACTGCTCATGATCACACACATTGAATTCTCCCTCTCACTCTCCTCATCCCCCTCACACACCTGGCCTGATCCCACCATTGTAGGTGCTGACCCATTTCTACCCAAAGCTCACACTAATTTGAGTGTCAGTTCCTCCAGAGAGGTAAAGCGAGAGAACGAGCAAAGGGGTGAGAGAGGCAGTGAGAGGAGGGTGAGGAGAGACCCCATCCTCCTTTTAATGGCCCTAAACTAAGGAGGGAGGGATGAGATGATGATGGAGGGAGGGGTGCAGAGAGGGTTAAGAGATGGGGCAGCCAGGAATATCTTTACCTCCTCATCTGACTTTTATGAATTTTAACTATTAATGTCTGGTGTCTGCTTCCTGTGCCGTTGGCCTCGCAGACCTTTAAATATAGCTCGGCATGGCCTTATGTATTTATATAGCAGCTCAGCGAGTCAAATAGGGCCGTAGAGATGTATGTCCTTTAATAAGCCGTTATATTTCATGAGGAGAGCAGCGGTGTCAGGGAGCGGAAGTCATTGATCATAGGAACGAAACGGACAGAAAATGAGGACGGGACAAGAGAGAGAAAGAGAGAAAAAGACAGGGTGAATGAGAAAGGAGGAGAGATGAATGTTGAGTGCTATTTCAAGGTGATGCATGATGGGTAGGATTCGTTGAAGAAGAGGTTTTATTTTCTGTTTAACTTACCAGAAAAAAACGTTGTTTCTAGTACAAATCGCATTATTATCGAGTATTGTACTGAAGAAACAATGTGTACCTTGTCATGCTACATTATATTTTTACTACACACTAAATGGTTTAACTTTTATTACATTACAGTTATTTTTACCATTTCAATTAATACATACGTACTTCGCAGGTTATTGAAAATGATGTTATATGCTGATCACACATTCATCAGTAATAATTATCATGTAAGTCAACTTTATTGTCAATCTCAAAATATCTTTGTACACACAGAAAGATCGAAATACTGTTTCCCACAGTCCCGAGGTATAAAAAACTCACACATTAAAATGCAAGAACACTGAATAATTTACAAAAAAAACACAAAATAACTGTTTACTTCAAGTAAGCAGGATATATATAAAAAAGATGATATAACATAGTTCAAATGGGAGTGCAAAATTGTCCATAGCAGCGTAAAAGTGACTGGTGCTGGATTTTTTGTGTCTGTGGGGGGGGGGATATGATAGTAACGCTCACAGGGGGGCTATTTATGCATTTTGAGATGCTGAGAACATTTTTCTTATAATATATACATATAATTCATAGTATTTCCAGTGCTTCAACACTTTGTCCACTAACGTGATCTCAAAGTCATCACATATAAGTTGCTTATTTATTAATAATTGTATTTATCATTGTGCCTGCTCACTTAAATTCCTATTTAGGATCATAGGGAAGTAAAGTGTCACAGTGAGGCCTCAGCAGAAACACAACCAGACTGATCAAATATTCAAACATTTTGAATTTGAAGAAACCTGATATAAATGTAGTCTAATTTTTCCATTTCTTTTTTTGTTCGACACAATCGTCTTCCTTCCTAAAATTTGGCCTCCAGCTCCCCCCCCCCCCCCCTCCCCTCTTTCAGCCGGAGGGAGAGGAGATGAGTGGCACATGTGCTGTGACCCACTGTAAATGACTGCTAATGTTTTAACTGGGAGAATTAGGCTTTCATCACGGAGACGAATGCAAATAGCACTGCAATAGCACTAGTGTCTGGCGTGTGTATCTGTGTGTGTATCTGTGTGTGTGTGTTTGCACTGTCAGGGTGGCGGGCGCAGATTGGGGTCAGACTCATTTACAAAACTTAGCATCACGGCTCGGGGGTTGAGGGGATGCGGGGGAGAAAGGGTTCCTCCGCTGATTATGGCTTGTGTAATTACGTGTGTGTGTTTGTATGCGTGTGTGTGTGTGTGTGTCTGTGTGTCTGTGTGTGTGTGTAATTATGGCAAGGAGTGATGCATGCCTGGCCTGTCCCTCCCTCTCGGCTTAGAACAACGTGTCAGAGAGAATATGCAGGATTTAATTATAGACGAATTAAAATTGGTAATGAAATTGGGCATGAACAAACTACAAATAGCAGATGAAAAGGGAGGCCTGTCCCTGGGGGGGTGAGACGAAGATAGCGGTGTGCCTGCCTGCGTGCCTGTCTGAGTGCCTCTGGATGTGTGTGTGTGTGTGTTTCTGTGTGTGTGCCGATGGTGACTGATTAGAACAATTCTGAGATAAAATGACGCTCCTAGAGAACTGCTACCCTGTATTGGCACTGTACATATCTACGGTGTGTGTGGATAAAAAGCATCCTCAGGTCACAATACTTAAAAGGTAACTGAACACCGAGCTGGAAAACATTGTTTGTACTGAACACACCCTGAGTGAGTCGTTTTACCTCCAGCCAAGAGAGAGGAAATAAAAAAAACTATTTCTGCTGGTTTTGAGTTTCTCCTCAAGGACATATTTATTTATAGAAGTCATGGAATATCATTGAAATGTATGAAGTAAAGTTTAAAGTATTTAGGGAGAATAACTTCTGATATTAACAAGAGACATCAGAGAATATTAGTCACTTAACAGATAAAACTGAATATGTCGTGTATGATTATTTAATGCATTCCTTGCATGCTGGTGTTTTTTCTCCACCACAAGCCAAACTTTTGATTCCCTTTGAAAAGGGAAAAAAAGAAGAGGTCACAAAAATGTTTAATAAAATGTGACAAATCTTATTAAATATTACACTATGAATGAAAATAAAATACCTTCGCTAAGCAATTGTAAACTTGTCTTCAGTGATGTTAAATTCCTTCCTCTTTTCTCTCTCTCCCTTTTCCCAGAATGCTGTGCGCCACAACCTGAGTCTGCACAAATGTTTTGTTCGCGTTGAGAACGTGAAGGGGGCTGTGTGGACTGTGGATGAAGTTGAATACCAAAAGAGGAGACCACCAAAGATGACCGGGTAAGCACACACACACACACATTTGTTTTCTTGGTGCACAGTTGAGGTTGATGTGAGTGCGAGCTTATGGGTGCTGGCACTATGATTGCCTAAATGGACCCTCTATTATTACCAGGAGGCCAACTCAGCTTTCCTGTAAAAAGAAAAAAGGAAAAAGAGCTGCTGGTTTATCGTGTGCGCACTGTGCTGTATGTGTGTGTGCTGTGTGTGTGTGTGTGTTTTTCTCTGTTTGTCGACACCATTAGTAAGCAGCTGTGTGAGATGCAGGAGAGAAAAAAACCTTGTTAGCGTATGTAAACAGATGTTCTCTCCAACCACCAGAGAAACCAGGGATAATTACACACACACACATACACACGAACACACCTGCATGCCAGATATTAGACACTTTCATATGTGTGTGTGTTTTAGCATCTGTTTACAGTCTGTGTATGTTTCTACTTGTAACAAACATATTTGAGAGATCTCTCAGAGTGCTTTGGCTGAGGTGACATCTTTTCACATGTGCGCTCAATCTGTGATTCTCACTCCCTCTCCCCCTCTTCGTTTGTGTGCAGAAGTCCCACTCTGGTGAAAAACATGATTTCAGGCCTCGGCTTTGGATCCCTAAACGCCAGCTACCAGGTAAGGAATGCCCTCTCCTCCCCCCCCCCCCATGTCTCTCTTTCCTCTCACTCTCACACACACACACATACATAGCAGCCAATCGCAATCAAGGGCACTAATATCAATTCCCTCTTATAATTAGCAGATTCCCTAACGACGTTCACACCACCTCCCTCCGCCGCCTCCCTCACCGACACACACTCTCACCTCCCACCTCACTTTCTCACACATGCGCCACCCCTACCTCTGCACGTACACACACTAGACACATCTCTTCACTCCTACGCAGACACACACACATGCAATTTTGCCACTGAAATGATTTATAGCGTCGAGTAGTTGTCAATTAAGGTTACCGCATAAAATTATCGCCTGTCCCAGAAAATCCATCTCTGAGCCAGTGAGACTTCCCCTCCTTTTGTCTTTTTCCCCCACATCCTGTGTGAGGGGGAGATGTGGTGAGTCTCTCAGCTAGTGTCCAACCTGTCTCCCCCCCCACACACAGCTGGATGTGGAGCAGTGACACAAGCCGCCCTGTTGGCTCAGTTGTTTTCCCCTCTGCAGACATTGATGTTCCGCCGTGTGCGTTTAAGTTGAGGTGGTGGATCAGTCCCGCTCAACGTTCCTTTTGAAACTTTCACATGACTACACACACACACTTATGACAGGGACAAGCCATGGTGGGGGAATGCATTGTATATAAGTGCCCCCTAGTGGTTTGTCAAGTTCACTAGCAAGTTAGTGGATCTGAATGTGCTCCATGTGGAAGATCTCTCATACGACGCAAAGAAAAGACTATCCATCCATTATTGAAGATCTGACCATTTATTATATTATTATTCACATCTATTTTAGTGTCAACACATTTTGAGTAGTACAGTTAAAATGTACAATGATTAGTTGATTGGCAGAAAAATTGCCAGCAACTATTTTAACAATCAAGTCAGTTTAAAGTAATTTTTAATGCAGAAAATGCCTCAGTTAAATATGTAAATTCCCTGCTTTTCTCTGTTTATATTATAACAAACGGTATATCATTTGTTTTGAACTTACTAAACCATACCTAAACATTTTTAAAAACTGTGATTTCTCAAGATCTTCTCAGATTTAATTGAATAATCTATTTTAAAAAGATGGCAGATTAATAGATAATTAAAATAATTGTTAGTCCTAATATCAGCCCTAAAGTCAAGTAAAGCTAGACGTTTTACTGGTTGTGGTGGACATATAATTTCTAGACACCCTTTCATTATATCACCTACCCCTTTTGTCGTTATCATTAAGCTTCTTCTGATTTGATGAATCTTTTTTAAAGAAAAAACTTTATTTTGATGTTTTTGTTCAGGCGGCTATGGCAGAGGGCAGTCTGTCCCTGCTGAGCCCCTCCATGATGTCCCCCTCTGCGGCCAGCCTCAACATGCTGCATGTGGGCCACGATGATGTCAGCTCCACCGTGGAGCAGGTCAACAGCAACGGCAGCTGCAGCCCCACGCTCAGCCCTCACCAGTACAGGTACACATGGAGCTCAGACACACGCACACACATAGAGCCACTGTATAAGACTAATAGTGACATGTTTATCAGCAATCAAGGTTGTCTATCAATATTTTATTCATATAATATAGATATAAGGGCTAAACTGATAAAAACTATTGTTTTTCACACTTGTTCCCTATGATGAAAATTATTTTTAGATATATTTGTTACAGTAAATGTATTTTGCATTGTGCCTGCAAAATAAACAACACAAAAATAAATAGAAGATGGCTTAAAAAAAGGAAATCATTTAATTTAATGTGAGCACATTTTACATAACTGTTTAAGACATAAAAGACTTAAACACTACGAACTATTTTATACATACACCAACAAAAAACATAGCTGTTGATATTGTGTATCTGTTTTGTGCTTTGGTTGCGTCAATTGTACTATAAATTGACTGCATTTAATGCAACAACAATAACCTCAAAGCTACCTGGATAACATTCTAGAAAAATACATTTAATTTAATTTAAACTAGATTAAAATGTCACAGAAAATATTTAGCATGAGAAATTCTGCCATTGGCCTCTGCCTTTATGACTTGCCCCCTCGCCTCGCTAACATCCGTTTGCTCCTTCAGCCACCATGTGCATGTGAAGGAGGAGCCCACCGATCTGGAGGAGGACATCCGGTCAGTATCTCTCCTGTCCGGCGCCACACACAGCCTGCCGTTGCCGAGCGACGAGCGCGACCTGGAGGAGGATCTTCCCACAGAGGAGCTGGAGTAGAACAGATGCCCATTGGACCGGAGGGAAATCACTCCCTGAACCCTCTTGTCAGCGTGAAGAGGAAACGATAGCTACAGTACACTTAAGAGAGAAAAAAGAGAATGTTTTTTTTTGTTTTTGAGAAAATGCAAGCAACCAAGGACAACATTGAGAAAAACTCCAAACAGGGTTAGATCTCCGTTACTCGTAAGGCGCTAAAACAAGACAGTGGAACACTGCTTTAGCTCCATGTGTTTCTTTTACAACACTTGGCTCAGAGGTGTAACACCACTTACCGCATATACACAACACAAAAAACACTTACACACACACACACACACAATCACTTGTCAAACCTTGTGTCATCATCCTCCCTGGTCAGCCTCTGTGTAGAGACCCTCAGAGGTTTGGACACACACTCTTCTCCTTGCCCGACCACTCTGCAAACCCCCCCCCACTCGCTGTTGTCCCAGGCTGCCTGGCTAGCTGTTTTATTTTTACGTCAGTTGAGAAGCCACACAGGTGTGCGAGTATGTGTGTGAGTGTGTGTGTGTTTGACAGAGATAGACACACACAGGATCATGTGTATATATATATGTGGAGCAGTCACCAGGGGCTGTGCAGTACACCTCTCCTTTTTCCCCCTCCTTGAGTCAATCACTTGCATTTTCATTTTTTTTTTTATTTGATTGAAATGAAACTGTCGGGCTTCAAGATGGGAAGGGAGGAGGAGCGCTTTCAAAGATTACCTCCAACAGTGCTCCGACACTTCTGCAGAGCAGGCGAGGCTGTGGCCCGGGTCTCTGTCTAAACTTCTGCCCCCCCCCCCCCCCCGAACATCTTTTTAACTCTTTGCTTCTAATTGAGTAAAAAGAAAATGTCCTTACCCCACCTCAATCCCTTCCCATCCCTACCCCAAAAAGACTGCAGGAATAGGACCATTTGGTGCTGTCCTTCTCCTCCGCTCCGTCTGCAGATGGAGCGATGAGCTCGGAACACTTTGAGAATGAGAAGAAAGGAGGGGAACAGAGAAAAATGAGGGAGGAAGCGTCTACAGAAAAATTGTGACTTAAAAAGAAAACTGTTCATGATTATGGAGTATAACAAGAAAAAAAAGTGTGGTAGCTTTTGTCATTTCCTTTTTTTATTTGATGTTATTATCATTGTTTATTTTTGAGGATCAATATTTCCATGGTGGCGTTCTGTTTCAACGTACCTTTTCTTAGGATGCTGTTTTTGTTTTTGTATTGTAAATTGTTTGATTTATTCTGGCTGTTCACACCATTCCAAATGAGTATTGGCAACAACAAAAAAAGAAAGCGCAGTATTGTCCCAACTTGTGATACCCGACCCCCACTCCTGCCCCTCTCCCTTTCTGTCCCAAGTGTAGCAGGCAAGAAATATGGAAATAGCACTTAAAGTTGCCATTATCCAGACATTATTTAACAGCTGAACCTTTTTTTTATTTTTTATTCTCTCTTTCATTTGTTTTTGGTTGTGTATTTAGTTGAGAAATATCAGTAATGCTTTAAAAAAATATATATTATTACTGCAGTGAGAGAATACCTCATCCCACAAAGGTTCTGCCTGGAACTGTGTCCAAATTGATAAACAAAAAAGGGGGGATTCTTTCTGTGGGACACCAAATGCGGCAACTCTGCTCAGCTTCGATTCAAAGCTCTATGGTTGTAATAGTTACTGTGTAGAAGCTATCTGCAATTCACTGTGTGAGTTTGTGTTAAAGGAATAGCACGTGAGATTTTTTGTTTTTGTTTTCCGTGAGCATAAAAAGCATTACTTTTCTCTACAGTGCCAGACCAAATTTAACATTTATTTTAAACTATTATCTGCTTATTCCCATTTTATTTTTGTTACAGGTAACCAAAGAAATATGTAGAAAACCAAAAACCCTGTAGTTTATTTTGCCCTTATGAGTTTCCTTTTTTTTTCTTCTTAAAGAATTGGCCAAAAGACAACAAACCAGGAGTTTGAATTCTTATTATTGTATTCATATAAATATTGTGTTGACATTTTACATAATTTACAGTGCTGACCATTCCGAAAACCAAAGTGTGTGAAGCAAACTAGGACTCGGAGACATCAAAGCTTTTACATGATAAACGGATACGAATGACTCACATTAGGTATGAGGCCAAAAACTAGTATTAACAAACCTCGCACAGTTCCTCTGAAAAAACTAAAAGAAAGAGAAAAGAAAAAAGCACTTAGAGGTGAAACCCTGTCTCTCCCACTCTCAGGCTAAACTGTGTTCCAAACACAACCCGACTGGCCCTACTGCTGTAAGAGCAGGCCTAAAAATTAGGCACTCGTGAGGCATTTAAACACTTTCCGCTTAACAGGATACTTTTTCTGGTGCTGTCCTAACAAACATTTGGAGTTTTTCAATCTAGGGAACAAACATAACCCTGTTGATCTGTATGTAATATTTGCAGAAAGGGGAAGTGTACTGGACACAAGTCACATCTTTGAAGGAGTTATTCCAAAAACATACATTATTTAATAAAGAGGGAACAAGTAAAAAAAACATACCAATGTAAGAGGAAAACAACCAAGGGACATCATGTAATTGAAAGTTGGGTTCATATTTTCTTACTTTTTGTCAAACTATCTCTTGCACTTCAGACGATTTTCTCTTATTTAATGAAAGAACCTTTCTGATGACTTTGTGTTCAAACAGGACTGTTTCCTGTCACATTAGAGACTGATTTCTAACAAAGTACAAAGTGGCAGACAGACATCTTGAAACGAGATAAAAAACCAAAAATAACACTACCTCCTTTTCAAAACGGTTCAACACATAGCCAATGGGAGACCGAACTAAAATATTTTTTTCCTCCATTCTTACTCGATGATTATAACAAATGCCAAAATTGTTGTTACACATTACTGTATGACTGACAAGAGAAAAAAAAGCTATTTGGCGATCTGGACTCCCTAACACATCTGCTCGAGCCCAAAAACACAGAGACGTTTCACTTTCCATGGAATTAAAAAATGACTACCTCTCCTTAAACCACATCTAAAGCACTCTCTACGCCTCTAAGTGTGTTGTGAAGTGCTCGATATATGAAACTGTTTTTTATCAGCTGACCATATTCCTGCATCGATTAGCTCTGATCTAAGTGAACAGCCTCTCACTGTGTGCTCTGACTGAACATGTGCATATTCATGAACAGAAAACGGTTGTTAAAACACACACAGGAGTAACAGAGGCTTAGAAGCGGGGCTGTGGGTTAGTGCAAACAGAGGCTCTAACCATCCAGATATCCAAAGACCCTCAACACAGCGGCAGCCGCTTCGCCAAAACACTCACAGAGATGCTGAGAGGACTAACACACACTTAAAGAAACTCATCACTACTACTAGTAATATCCAAACCCAGAGGAACTGCTGCATACAGTACATAGATGATCTCTGACTTGTGCTTTAAGGTACACCTGTAAACAAAGCTGTTTTATAAAGATGTAGATTGTTCACAGGTCGTCATGTAACACTTCTGTTCTTTCTCCAGCTTGGCATAACATGATGTATTCTTGTATATTAATGCTTGACTTATCTCTCCAGGGCATTCTTTCCCGTTTTGTCCTTTTGATTTTTCTGATCTCCTGTTTTTATTTTCCGCACCTGTTTAGCTATTGTAAAGCTTTCAGCTCTGATTCCTATACTGTACTGCTAATGCTGAAGTATATGTATTTATCATATTAAGTGCTGCAGGTATCTTGGTTTATTAGTTTTCGTTTTGTTTGTTTCCATTTTTTCAGTTCTTCATAAAACGTCTGGGACGCTGATTTTTTTAAGTGTATTATCTCAAAAAAAAATTAAAAGAATAAAAGTTAGATCAGTGGTTTAGGTAACACCTGTTTGTATATTTATCTTAGCTAGGTCTATTTTGATACTTTTTTGTCTCTGTACTGCATTTATGCATTTTTAAGGAAAGAAAAACAAAACAAATGGAAAACAAACTAAAAAGTTACTTCATTATGTATTGATACCTCAGAAGGACTTTTTCTCAAAGACAGGACCAAAACCTCTGAAAAGAAAAAGAGAAAGTGGAAAAAATGTATGAATATGTAGCCCCTCTCTTGCTTTAAAAAAAAATTGCGGAGCTCTAGAAAGATATTGCTGTTGGTCCTCTCAGGTGCCAATATGTGTCCCAGCTCCCTGTGACCCCTCCCTCTGACTCCTGACCCCTGTCATTCCTGTGCTGAACTCCGACCCGCAGAGCTGCCAATCATCTGCAGGCGCCATGGGGGTGTCACTGAGTCACACACCTGGCTGGTGGTGACCAGTCACAGACCCCATCTCCCAGTCCCAGAAGCAGATCAAAGCCCGACACTGTTGCATTTTTGATACTCCTCCTCATGTGTAGTCTCAATACCAAAATGTGGAATGGCTCTCAGAGATGCAGCTCACCCTCTGACTACCAAAGGCATTGAAGGCAACCATTTGCTTAGTCCAAACTCCTGAACTGTAACCAAACTGTAACCAAACCAATGCCACAACTTTAACCAAACAAAAACCAAGCTACTTCCAAAAGTCTCCATGGACTTCACTGATAGCTGTTATCTCGTACATCCACGTAAAGGTGTTGTAGGAGCGGCCTGCATCCTATTGGCTGGTGACTGACTCAAAGGACACGGGGAGCCCAAATCCTGACTTGTGATTGGACAGTTCTGAGGTGTCATGTGAGGGGGAAAGGGACTCTCAAAGTGGAGCATTGCCTGGCGGTATTATCACGTAGATAGCCAGAATCCGATGGAACTACCACTTCAGCTCTCCTCTGGTTAAACCTAAGGAATGTGTGTACATTTTCAGCAGTGACTCTGTATTGTTTCTTAGTTTCAGTTTACCTGTTTACCTCTCTTTTTCCTTTGGTTTTTGTTCTGTTTCTTGTTATTTGAAAGTGTGACCCGAGGAAGAGGTGGGGACAGGGACTGGGCGGCAGCTTTAGACAGAAAGTGGAGCCCAGCCCTCTGACCCTCCCCCCGGGCAGCCATGTAATGCCAGTCACTGCCCTTTCCTTCATGCTGTATAAAAAAACACACACATATATCTGTGTATTTGTAACCTGAATCTTCTTGTGTCTGTCCATGCAGACAATAAAAAAACTGTACAGTAGGTCTAGTTGCATGTAATCTGTACTAATTATTGACAATGGCATTATAAAATGCAATAAAATACTTATTACACTGTCGATTGCTGCGTCCTTGTTGTTTCTTCTCCAGAAGTAGATAGCTTTGGTTCCTAACTTGTTAAAGGGATCATGATATTATTAAATAATGATTTATTCTTCTAACTTACTCTCTAATTCTTGCTTGCTTTTCTCTTATACATAGCAGGTTAGTTTGACCTCTTAGATTTAACACAGGTCTGCAAAGAAAATAAATATTCTGATCAAATGATCACAACTGCTTCACATAATGTATCCCATAACGCAAAATAAACGATGCTTCCTTTTAAGAGTTCATTCTACTTACAATCACAGGGTATATATAACAAATACCTGTGAAACTACCTACCACAGTAAATAAATACTTTATTTATATTATAATACCTAACAAAATAATGAATCCTGTCTGAAACACAAACTGAAAATGCAGTGATATACCTAAGTATTAAATGAGGCTACTCTAATTTTCACTGTGACCACTGCCAGACTACTTATTATATAAACACTCGACTCCTGCAGTCTCTGATCACTATAATTAGGGAAAACTAATCAAGGCAACTGCTGTTAATAATGAAGGATAGCTGAATGTTCAGAACAAATGTCCTCTTAGCATCCTGTTATAATGTGCCAAATATTACATTTTCTAGTAAAAACTCGTTATGGTGAGTTTCATCAGAAATGGTGTCATCTCACTTTTAACAACAGCTGTCAAAATCTGAGGTGCTTTTATAAAATAAGCTATAAGAGCTAAGGCCCTAAGAAATGTATAGACATATTTCACTATAATCGAACAACATGCACTCTTACACAAACACACAATCCTTAAATTAATATATCAAATCATTACAGTATAATAGTTAATCGATCCTCTCGGAACTGTGACCCTCATTACATGACAAACTGCTGCTCAAACAGAAACATTTCCAGACAGCCTGTGTAAATCATGCAAGGCCTTCAGAGAGGTCAGCATGTGTTGTGATGCAGAGAGTGGCCACCAGGAGGAGTAAACAAACCGGACAACACAAGCAGCATCTCATAAACACAAACCCAGCAACAAACAGCACTGTGGTCCACTGACAGGGTCCGACCAACAGGGTGGGCCAGAGAGTGCAGAACCAACCTGTAGAGTTTGGGATGGAGGGAGTAACATAAATGCAGGTGGTTGAAAATCACTGAATATCATACAGTCTAGTTTTGTGAGACTTCTTTTTCACTCACCCATCATCTTTCCTTCTCTCCCATACTGTCTCTCTACTTCACATGCCCTACAGCTTATCTTTAAAGCTGCATGCGCGCTGCATGGTGGATGTGTTGCCACAGGGAGAAAAAATGGAAACTGGCTGGATGTTATTTGGAAAGTTGAGACTTTGTTTAATCTTGTGCTTTTAGTGAACTTCTCTGTTAGTCAGCTGGGAGGAAACTCACTCTTGACGCTTAAATCCCTGTGACATTTGGTTTTGGGAGAGACCCCATCTTAAGCTTATTACAGTGACACATGCACACGCATACAGAAACACACTCACTGGCATGCACACATCATGAATACTAAGCAGAAACTCAGAACTATATACTGTACTTGTGCAAGGTGAGCCAGGGTGCAGAGCAACACACAAAGAGGTTATTATTGGCGTGGCACAGTAGTGTTTGGCATTGAGCACTGAATATATTTCTTAATGCCCATCTGGACAAAGTGAGCAATAGGTGTGCACACAGGAGTGTGTGCATTGTGCAAACCTGGATACACGTTTATGCAGGACTTGCAGGACTTAATGTGTGCGTATGTGTCTCTGATTGGGTATATGGATGGCTGTTAGTCCCAGACGCATAGTGAGCACTGAGGTCCAGGCAGACCCTGTGAGTCACAAAATAAATGTACTGAGCGCCATGCTAACATCTCTCTCACTGTCATCCTCCCTCACCCGTCTTCCCCTCCTGTCTGTGGCTGAGGGAGTGGGCAGTCCTCCAGTGTGTTGACTTAATACTCAAAACAGCACAACATACTGATGATCTGCCGCTGCATGCATCCACATGGATCTGATTATTCAGTCTAATGCAGGGGTTGTCAAACTCTATGTAAACAGGGGAGAATATTTGAAATGGCCGCCCTCAAAATATCAGGAAATGATCAGTATGCATTGCTTACAGTCATAATAAATCGATTTAAACTTACCAGTCTAAAGCTGACTTTCAAATGTGCTTAAATTGAAAAAAGAGATAAAAAAATATGTTAGTGTTTAGTGTCAAAATAATATCAGAGTTTCTATTGGTATTGATACCAAAGCTAATGTGGGCGGGTGTAATAGACTTAGAATGCATGTTTTGTTGGCCCAAAAGTATTAATATGTTTGTTAGACATTATTATGACATAATACACTATTTTGTTTTTAAAAGACATTGTTATGGCATACTATACTTTTACTTTTTATGGCATGTTTATGGCATGATATAATATAACGTTTTTTAAGACATACTCGACTATTCACTGTTCTATCAAATACAATGCTATGGACTTTTTTATGAAGTACAATAACTTTATTTATTACTTTTTTTAACGACATACTAAACCAGGATTTCTTTATGACTTTTTTATGGCAATAACTAAAGCCTCCAATTAGTGAGTGTCTCTCAGGTAGCTTTTTCTTCCCAGGATCCTCCTCAGAGAGTTCAGATGAGAAAGTGGATGAAACTCCAGAGAGAGAGAATGAGAGTGTGTGAGAGAGTGTGTGTGAGAGAGAGGGCCCAAGCTACAGAACAAAAGCATCTTTGTGAGTGATGGAACACATTTCACACCTCATAGAGTCTTCGCGCCGCGCGCGAGAGAGAGAGAGAGAGAGAGCGAGAGAGCGGAGCGTAAGAGAGGAGAAGGGAGGGCTCCGAGCGAGCTCGAAAAGCTAGGTACTACCGCTCATCTCGTCTTACCCGCGCCTCTCTCTCTCTCTCTCTCTCTCTACCTCTCTCTCTCTACCTCTCTCTACCTCTCTACCTCTCTCTCTCTCTCTCTCTCTCTCTCTCTACCTCTACCTCTCTCTCTCTCTCTTGCTCAATCTCCCAGTAACAACCAGACTGTTCAAAATCACTGAAACAATCAACGTCAAAAGTTTAGAATAATAATCCGATGGTCTCAGCAGATACTCTCTGTGTGTGTGTGGCTCCAGTTTCATTCCCTTGTGAACAGACACCTACACATACACTGTACTCTCTCCCAATCTCTACATTTCCTCTGTCCGCCCCTCCCAGCCTGTCCGCTGATCTGACGCTGGGTATAGGGCCTGGATGTGGTATCTAATGCATTCTGCTCAGAAGTCCTGCAGCAGTGGGGCTCTACGCTCAGTCCTCCAGTGCTGGTGAGCTGGAGAAGCTCTCTCTCTGCTGTATCTCAGCTAACTGGAAGGCCTCTGAAGCCTCGGACCTTTCTAGCTAGAGTTGAAACTTAAGTGCTGTAAACAAAAAAAATGAAACTGAAAGTAAAATACGTAAACATGCAAGTAATCTCAAATAAAGTGCATATTATGATACTCCCTGTATCATAATGGACCTTGAACAATATTTGCAAGGTAAGTATTCGAAGTGTAGACTCTCCTTTTTTCATGATCATTTGGAGCAATATCACATACTACACATAATAGCTTACTTGCCAAAATATTAATTTTGTGACGTCCTGTAAATTAATAGGTAAGTTCAGGAGCCAGAAGCTAATTAACTTAGCTTAGCATTAAGAAACATTCAAAGGGTAACACAAATTCAACAACCATAAAAAAGGGCTGTTACCTGGCAAATCATGCTGGCCTAAATATAGCCTGGTAACCGTAAAACATTGAACTGTAATGTTTACATAGTTTTTGTAAGTGTTAAACAAATTAGAAAAAACATTTTATTTTATATAAGCTTGAGATGTGCTTACAGGTGGATTTTGTTACCCTTATTGACATGCACTGTACTGACATGTGAGAGGTAATGATCTCCTCATTTAACCTAAAATGTAACCTAAAATATGAAACTGTTCCTTCAAAGGGCAGTTATAACGGTTCAGGATCAGGGACAAGATATTTATGTTCATCTGGACGCAATACAAATATTATTGTGTATGTGCCTGTGTGCTGCTCCTGATTCAATAACTGAAGCTGATTTCATGGTGAGAAATGTGGAGGGACACTGCTATATTAATCTGCCTGGTGCTACAGACCCTGGACGGTCCGAAGAGTCCTCGTTCACCTCCACAGGAAGCTGCCAATTACTGTAGAACCAGAACAAAGGCAACCTGCTAAACTACTCTGTGAAAAATCATTTTTCAAAATAATTAATACTTGTTGATTAAATAACCTTTGAGTACCTGTTAATGACTAGTGTTTAAGTTATTATGTAAATACCAAGCGAAATAAATGGGAGCTATGTGACTGTATCATTGTGGTCTCGTTGAAAGGTTGAGGCATAGTCACAAACGGAAGAGGATAGAGAGAATGAGTGTTTCAGGAAGCTGATGACAAGACGTCTCCGCTCTCATTGTGCAGTGCTGGAATAGGTGGGGGGACTCAATCTTGTACAAACAGACAAGGCTTTAATGTAGCCACAGTGTAATGTCAACAGTCTTCAGGGTCTTTGAAGCTTGTATTTGGTTTATTTAAGTGGGATCTCTGCTTTTATTACTCCATAATTGTACGGTATCGTTTTTAGCTGATGTGATGATATCAGATAAAAGACAAGAATTTGCCTCATTAACACATTGTGATCCTGTGAATAAGTTGAAATGGGGGGGGGGGGGGGGAATTTAAATTTGATACAATTTGGATGCTTTGTCCCATCCTGTTAAGTTATGCATGTAAAACAGCAGGGAGGGCAACTATTTGAAATGTGTTGATATGAATTAACTCAAAGAGACTTTGAAATGCTGTATTGGTTGTTATCCCACTTCCTGTCAGTGGCAGACTTTGTTAAAATCATCCATTGGTGTTACTGCGTCAGCCTCTTAATTATCTGTCTTAATTTAATATCTATATGGAATATGTGTTACAAAAATATTTGGATCCTAAAGCAAGTTTTGTCAGATCAGCAGTACCCAGCTGGCCCCAGTAAACTGCACTATGTCTAGATTTCTCTCACAAACAAGGAGACAAACAATAAAAAAGCAATCCTGCTGAGACACTTCCACACAGACTCTGACCCTTGTGCCCAGACAGACGCTGAGCCCACACTAAATCCCACAAATAGTTCAGTGTCAAAGCCTGGCTGTCTCAGATGAGTGATTGTACACACAAATAGAACAGGAGGTTATCATGTTGTTAGTAAAATGAAGCCTGTCTCAGAAAAGGCCTCAGAAGATTTGCTGCTGTGAATTACCTTGAGACCCTGCCACGCCTCCAAACATCAATCACAATAAAAACCCTCATCAGAAACATCCTCCGGGTGTCAACATGACTCAGACAGACAGAGCCGGTCTGTCATGCCGGCTGTAATCCTCTGTATCATGAGTGACCCAATAAATACTTCCATTATTCCTACTAGTTTATCATAGGTTATATTAAAAGGTAAAGAATATTCTCAATATGAAATTAAACAACGTTAGACGTCCTTTTTTGCAGATGCTAAGAGGTTGATTTTTGAGCTTACTACTGTATGCAATAACAGCTTAATTTGAATGTGTCTAATTAAATATAACTTGTAATGTTATTTTTTTCTCTTTCAAGTGATTTCGTTCTGTTGTTTTATTGCATTGTTTAATATGTTTATTCTACATTTGATGTATGGGTTCAGTTTCTCTATGTTACTCTATATTGATATTTGTAGAGTAACTCTGGACCTTTGTGTGTTGATGAAAAATCTAATGTGGGGTAACGATAAAAAAAAAATGATGATAAGTAGTGGATTGTCTGTTGGAACGTTTTTTCGAAAATAATACATCCGATACTGGTAGAGATATTAGGCTTATTGTGATCAGTATTGTCATACATTTAAATACACTCATATATTTTATGTTAAAAAAAGATCACTACCTAACAATGACTACTTGTGTTATTGGACACATCACTCATTCATTTCAAAATCTGTGTCGTTGCTGCATAACTATTGGTGTAAAGTCTTAAAACATAAATATGAGGTCCATTGAAAGGTATGTGCATCTTTGTAATTCAAGAACATCTGAGAATGTAATTAAAAGAAGCTTAAACTTGTTCATGAAAATAGTGAGCTTGAACTATCAAAAGTCAATATATTTACAATAGATTTAGTGCTAAACCAAGGTTAAGGGGTTTCACAAAGATTCTGGTTTCATGAAGCTCACATATTTTATTTTATATTTGTATGATTGTCAATGTAAATACACACAGTAAATTCAATTATTGTGGCTCAACTCTATTTGTTTGTTTATTAATTGGATTACAGATATCAGAGGAGATGCATTACTCAAATATTATAAATCACTATATAAAAGGGGACTTTATCCTCTTTCTTTAAAAGTCTTTATTTATGTAACACGCTAATTTAGTTAGTCGATAAAATGAATTCACTTATTCAACACTTGATAACATGTTTATGGTTTTGATAAACAATGATGTTTTCAGTGAGATTTGCAAGGCTAATTGTGTTTCAATATCTCTGGATTGACAGTAAATTACTGTATTTTCTAAGCTTAAAAAATAATGCCAGCTGTCAACGGCAAAAAGGGTTTAAGGTGGGGATGTGCTTTGTAGGCTTAATTGTAATTGCTTTTGAGTGCACACTTAGTATTATGAGGATGAATCATGAGACAAGACCTTGTTTAGTCTAGTGCTGGGATACCTACAGAGGTCACTTGCACAAAGAAATTCCCACATTGAGTCATAACAGCATGTGACCCTGCACCTGAAGAACAGAGGTCTCGTTCGACTCATGTCGGAGTATGTGTACTGGGCAGAAAATGGCCCATAATTAGAAGAATTAGATATTGTTCTTGCTTACTATACAGAAATTGCAATTGGTTTCTCAAAATGTAAGTTTTCAGAGTTTCTCCAAGGTGAAAAAACTGTATTGGCTGACAAAAATAGAATTTAGCATCCATTGAAACACCTTCAGTATTATATTTAAGATCTGAAAGAGTAAAATATAGCAGTAATAACTCAACAGAATGTTATAGAATATCATATTATATTAAAGCATAATGTGCTACAAATAGTGACCATAACTGAGCACCACAGGTATGCTGCATTCAAGTAATTTTGAATGAGTAAAAGTGTTGAAACTTGTACATAAAAAGTTATATTCACAAACTGTTACTCTGTTATTAATGACAAAACATATGGTCTCTGGGCTCATAATTCCTGATGAAAGCTACCCTGTGTTATTGCTGTGTCTGGTTCGGGTTAAGGGGGTAATTATATGACAGTATAGTTCAGCCCAACTAGTTTGTAGCCTGGAGGAAGCACAATCACTGCTGACTGTAGTTTCCTGTCCAATAGCTGCAGCACAGAAGTCTGAGGCAAGTTCAGTGGGAGTAATGAAGAGGAGAGACCGAGTAGCCTACACAGGACGTAGTTTAAACTCTTGGACGGTGGTGGACTTGGACATTTTTTGCAGAAAAGCAACTGAAAGTAACCCTGCAGTGCAGACAAAGAAGACCCAGCGAGCTGCCTGCAGAGACGCATACACTTCCCAACATCTGGTCTGCTGGAGGACGGGGCGAGCCGGAGAGACACACTTTTGGAGGCGGAGAGAAAACTATCTTTGCTGGAATATGCATTGAATTGGGGAGTTTTTGGGCTACCTACATGAGCCGAAAAGAGAGCCGGTGGTCGTGTGAGGTGACAAGAGTGGAGGCAACGAGTACGGCAAAGGTCGCGGAGGGCGAGAAGTCCACCTGGTCGGACAGAGGATGAATTAGCCGAAAGTTTTGCTGCACCGCGTCCCAGCCAGAGAGAAGGTACGGGGTTGTTGTGCTGTGCTGTTGTTTCAAACTTACTTTTTGAAGTATGAATCTAGACAGAAGAAGAATCGCTACATTAAAGCTGAGCTCGGTCTGAGCATGCAGGGACTCGTTTAGGGAAAGCAGGGCGCAGACATGCAATAAAGGTAAACAGAAAACGCCCGTTAGCTGGCAGTAACTTCTGTAAGGGCAATTAATACTATACATTTCAGCATATATTTCTCTTGAAAGGTAGACTGTTTTTAAAACCTGTTAACAGTTAACTTGAGCTGGACGTTTGGCAGTGTTTTCACGCCTGTGGTGCGATGTTTGCTCTTTTCCCGAAACTTCTATACACTTTTTACTTTTTTGTTTAAAACTAAGCCCACTGTAGTTGGGGTAAAACATTTGATGCATTTGGTAAACCATAGCTTATCAAGCGATTTCACAAAAACGTATTTAATAGGTTGTCAAAAGTGTTCTGGCCAGCGAATGCCGAGCAGAACCACGGGAGCGCGCAAACAGCTGTCCAGCTGAGCTGCTCTGGCAGGGCTGGCGCGCGCCAAACACACGTTGGCACGTGACACACTCAATTTGTCCCGTGTTAATGATGAGTTTGAGAAGGTGCCCGGGGCTTGGGGCTGACTGTCTGTTGGACTCCTCTCGAATATCAGATAAAACCCAGGTGAACTGATAACAGGTAATGTGGCAGGTATGAAGGTAGCCAGGTAGGAATTCGTCATTTAGGCTATATGTTGCCTAGCAACCTTTAAGTTAGCTGCAATCGTGGGTCGACAATAATAGTCAATCTATTAAATCCTATTAAAGTTATAGTTAAAGTTAATATTAAAGTGGTATGAGTCTGTTTTGTCTAAGATCAAATCGAACCACTTAAAGAAATGTTCAATATAAGCCTACCTATTAATGTATGTCAGAAAATAGTTAAAAATGCCAAATAACTTGCAGTGAAGTTTTACAAAAAATATCACTATTTAGTCATTTTTTTGCTTCTTCATATTTTTGTTTTTTGTCTTTTGTGTGTGTCTGTTCTTTTCATATAATTATCATTTAACTTTTCATACTACTTGAGTTACCTTTGCGTGTTTATCTCTTGTTGTTATAGGCTAATAGCCTACTACCCATATTGTTTTTTATTTCCACAACACAAGTTTAAAGAGTTTAAACACTATTTATTAATGAAGGCTATTATTATGCACATCCGTTGTGTTGCCAGTGTTTCATGAAAGCAGCACGCCAGCGCCTTCCTTGAGTGGTTTTATAGCTGTAAGGTATTCATGTTGGTTCAAGTTGTGCCTGATTACACCTTCCTCTCACTAAATCATGGCCATAAGCAACACAAAACAATGGAGCATCAAGCTTTTTGGTTTTCAATTTAAAACGACAAACAAAAATCTGTCATGTGACCCATGCGATCACCTCTGTAATTATATGTTTGGCTATCTCTCTCATCTTATTCAGGCTCACTCCTTGGCCCCTCCACCTCCTCCCATAAGAGCCAGGCCTACGCCCATGGATGAGGAGAGGAAGGCCCCTGCCATCCCCCCAGAGCCACCAGATGAGGGGGACCCCACTCCAGTTTCACAACCCAGTTCAAACGAGACCACGACATCAGAGATAGCAAACTCCCCGAACCCAAAGCCCTGTCCTCGCCCAGGTAAGGACAAAGTTACAAAAACAGAAAAGACTTAAACCAAACAACCTTTTCACGCTGTTGTGTAGCTTTTAGTGTGTCTGGGTGTATGTTCTTGTAATGGAGAAAGTACAAAATCACAGAAGTTATGTGATAGGTCTAAACAAGTCTTTTATAGGGCCAATGTTTGTAACTACTAACAAACAAACCCACTTTGATATTAGAACTCCTTTATGTTTTTTTTTGTGGCTGCCTCAAAACAAGGTGAGGCAGGGAGTTGATTAAAAGAGAAAGAGCCCTTCAGTAAGCAAAAGAGGAATTGGATTTGTGCTTTTTTATACATTTTAACCTTATTATGTTAAAAGGCTTGGCTCGTGTGTGAATATGTCTTGATGCAACACTTTTTCCTTTCTTTAGGAACTATAGTAGACCTCCTTACCCGAAAACAGAACAATTTATTCACCTTTGAGAAAGTAAGGTTGATGTTAGTTTTCCAGACTGGAACAGCCTTGAGTCATTGTTATGCTTAACATTTTACAGATTGGTAATTACTAATCACTAATGGTTGACTCAAATTATTCCATCTATATCCCCCCAAAAATCATTGTGTGTTTTTGGTGGATGTCATGGTGATTCATTAGGTCAGAGGCCTTCTCACTGACAGATAAAAACAGTTGTGTACCGAGCTCAGTGTGGGGGGTGTGCCACCTTGGATGATCTGAGGGGTCAGGACCAATTAAGCGCTGTGGAACGCTTAAAGTCTGCAATGGGACTCCTGGGAATTTGAGAATGAACCCATGACCCTTCGCCTTTGTGTGATTGGTCATGGTAAGGGTTGACTGACACCAGGGCGGGTACGAGGGAACAGTATTGTGCCTGAATGACTCATCCAGGATAAGCCAAAATGATTCAAGTTTCCTAAAACACATTGAGAAAAACGGACAGCACAGACTGTAGTTCAGAATGAAGGTCGTAATTATGGTAAACAGTAAGGGAAGTTTGCAAAGATTTATGTGGCATGTTGCCATGGGAACCAACCACCAAAACCTGTAAAGGGTGATGGGGCTTTCTTAGTTTTGTCCCAGTTTAGTATGATTACTTTAATGAATGTGAGTATAATCAACACACGCACATTTCTGTTGCCGCCACATTGTGGTGCACCATGATGAGTGTCAGTACAGCATCACATTTAATGATAATACCTCAACGACGAGTTTTACGGTTATTAACTGAAGGTTTGTGCCTGAACATGTTCTCTAGGCTGTGCTTACTTTACCTGTGCTTGTTGCTCAGGAAGCCAACACAAAGTATAACTGTGGCTTCTCACACTAAAAGTTGCTGCTTCTCTGGCTGACAGGGATAATGTGTGTGTGTGTGTGTGTGTTGTGTGTGTAGGCTGAGCGTAGGTACTGTAGGTGAGCCAGGTCGGGGGGGAGAAGATTGGTCAGGCTACCACTGAGGGCAACAAGGCCCTGCTTTCAGCGCTGTGCGACACCCCCCACCCATCAGTGTGCAGCGCTTTGAAACAACACAACAGGCACAGGTTTAGATCTAACTCAGCTTGAATTGAACTTGTGCCAATTTGGCCCATATTTAGAAATGGATAACTTGTTCCAAGATGGCACTATTTATGTCAAAGATGCTTAGCTAGTAAAGATGCTTAACACATTTTTTTCTTCATGGTTTACTTTAAAGTTTAACAGCCCATACTACATTTAAATTATTTTTTGCCATTTTATTTCACTTCATACATTTTGACTGTTGCTAATTTAGTCACTTTCATGCTGACAGGAAGGGTGTATTATGCCCTAAACAATCAGTAGCAACAGTACGTATCAATCAGACCAACACCATTTTTCTTTGACATTAAATCTATGTTTAGGAGGTGACAACCTTAACGTGTTTAACTTTGATGACTCCAATCTAGGAGTTGTCATTTCTATAATAGGAATGACAAATACTTGGACATCTGAGTAAAGGTCCTACCTTTCACCCGTTTACTGCTGCTAACTTTAATGAATGTGGCTGTGGAGCTGAAGTCTATAAAAAGATGACATGCGCAGATTTAACTTAGTTTCTATTAAGTTCTGATTGTTGTACTTTTTCCAATTGGTTGAAGCACGCCTACAAATCGTATATATAGGTGTTGTTAGTTTGCATAGGCACGTACGAGACTACATAATAATGATGCCACGCTCAAAAGGAAGCTTTTTTTAGGCTATGGGAAGGTTTTATAGACATTCAACGTTATCTTTTAAAGTACACAAAGCATTTTTCCTGCCTGATGTTTAAAATGTAGTTTTTGAGGGCATACTTTCTTTTATTTATGACAATGGCAGCATCAGTGTGGGAGATGGCCAATCACTATGCACCAAATGAGTTCAGTTTGAGTTTTAGCCCTAGTTGTCAGCCCGTATTTAAAGAGGCGTATTTGCTGCTGTTAAAGAATAAAGCTCTTTTCAGTCGTTACAAGGTCATTGAACAGTGGTGTGTGTGTGTTGACAGATGTGTGCCTCTCACTGTTGTGAGTGTTGCTATCACTCAGGCATGAAGATGCAATGAGGCTGTCTGTTTATATAGTAGCCTCTTACTGTACCGCCACATGCTGATTCCCTCATTCTCTTTCACCACTGGCATCTCTCTCACTCTATCTTTTCTCTTCCGCCGTCTTTTTTTGCCCACTTCCCTGCTTTTGTCTTTCTGTCACTCTCTGCATTAGGGCTGAGGAAGAATGTATTTTTCTCTTGCAATTGCATACAGTACAAGAGTGGCTTTCTTTTCAAATCACCAGAGCTATGATTCTATGAATGCCATTATTATCTGTGTCTAGAACTATAGAATGTGTGTTTGGAGCTTGTTCATGTCAGCAGTTTTAAGACAGCTGTAGCCAGCTGCAGCTCGCTAATGTTTAATTTCAAGCGGGCCAAAGAAAATGAAGATTTTGGCTGTTGTTTAGTTAATATGTTTGATGGAAAACTAGTCTGTACTTTTAACACTCACCTAAAAATGTTTTAGTCAAGAAAAAGAAAGCCACTGTTATTGAATGTGGACTGAGTTGTTTTTTTCTGCCCAGAAATACAAACATAGTGGTTAGTCTTTCTCCAAATAAACAATTTAGTATTAGCTGACCCCATCAGACGATTACAGTCAGGTAGCTTGCAGTTATTTTCTCTTTAATAATAAAGCATAATTGACTGACAGCTGGTAGTTAAAATATCTCTGTACCATTTCTAAGCACATCATACTGTCTTTTAAATGTTATCTCAGGATCAGGACCGCCAAGATTTTGGCTTTGTGTAGCACCTTATTCCTTTAGTATGCCAAGCTAATGCTAGCGTAAGGAGCAAAAGTGCAGAGCTGTCAAATGGTATCATTGATATGTTCCAAAAACGTAAAGTTGACCGCCGTCGGACAAGAAGTTTGACATGTTTTGTTTTTAGCTGTTATCAATTAATGTTACTTTTAGATGTGGCATTATTTTTTCCTGAGATAATATGCTCAGCTTTACTGTCAATGTTGTGCCAAACTGACGTGTTTTCATGGTTTAGATGATTTCTAGATCTCTTTGTTTATCCTGCTGCCCTCCTAGTGCATAGAATAAAAATAACAAATGTCCTATGTGTTACAGTTTAAACTAGATGCATGTTATCCCTCTCTATCTCTCTCTCGCTCTTCACTCTAGCGTGCAGATGCAGCTATTTGCCTACTTGTCCCTTTTTAGTCCTTGAGGTTTGTCGGGGCTTGTGTCTAATTTGGTTTCCCCCAGGGATAGAAATAAACTAGGAGCAATTTGAGGCATTTTACAGCATATTTGAGCTACGCAAATGAGCGTGCTTCTTTTTTTTCACTTTACCACCTCGCAAACATCTGAGAAACTGTTGCTGCGTCTGCTTTGGTGGCCTGCTCTCTCTCCCTCTCTCTCTCTCTCTCTGCTGTTGACAGAAAGTGTCAGCATGATTTGATAGTACTAACCACCCAGCAAACTGTCTGTCTTGTTGAGACACTTGAGCCAGAGGCCTGTTACTGTACACCTATTGCTTCAGTGACAGGTATGAAGGTTAACTCTTCAAGTATGTGGTTGTCGTCTCTTTCAGTGTAAGTCTACAGAGATGGTATGTAGATCCGTACCAATACTGCCCTTCAGGCCAATATTGATGCATTAGACTAATAGAGATAAGAGAACACTAAACAAATATTTATAACTTTAATAACTCAATGTTGGCCTATGATATTAGCTTGCCATCAAAGCAGGGCAATGAGATAAGATCAATTTTTATTGTACCCCAAGGGAAAGTTTTACGTATACAGTAGGCTGCACGACATGAAGAAGATATGCTATTTGCAATGTCAAATATCTTGATAATGAGATATCTTGCGATACATTTACAGATGTCAAAATATACTAAGTTCTGCCTTTCTGCTGCTTTTAGTATACTGCTAACTACATCACAATTCTTGTTGAATTATAAACAAAGAAGGAACATATTTCCAACATGTTTTAATTAAACAAATTAACCATTGAAGTGAACACAAATGGAAACAATATAGCAGTCTTTTGCAATGTGTTTTCCCCACAGATTAACATCTTGATGAGACAGTAAACAAAAAAAGAGGAGTTTGTGTTTATGCGATAGTGGTGTCCCTAATTTAGGCTCCCTGTGTAATGCAACAGTATAGCAAACAGCAGTGGAACCAGAGGAATCTCAGAGACAAAGTAACACAATTAAATTCCCCTTAAGCCTGACAGTTTCTGTCTTTAATGAGCTTACACGGCTTCATTCTCTCAGCAGCTATAATCTCTGATTTTGGACATATTCCAGCGCTGCAATCTGCACTGTGTGTGTGTGTGTGTGTGCGCGTGCGTGTGTGTGTGTGTGTGTGAGTGCGTGCATGCGTGCGTGCGTGCGTGCGTGCGTGCGTGCGTGCGTGCGTGCGTGCGTGCGTGCTTTAGGCAGGATTGCAGCTAAACAATTGCCCCTTCTTTCCTTTTCCTTTGAGTGTGCGTGTGTACGGCTGTGTGTATT